GATACGATCGAGACCGACAAAAAAAGAAGAAGAAGAAATGCATGAGAACATTCATATTGCTCCGTTTAGTCTCATTTCACAACGCCCCCTATCGTCAGAGCATGGTCAGAGTCAGCAGCCTAACATGTTAGCCTATGGACGTTTTTTTAAAAAATCGTTAAAAATTCATTTTTTTTTTGTTTAAACGAAAAGCACATCCACCCCGACGTACGTTATCACTAGCTCTTTCATTGGAGCCCTCATGTCTCATTGACTTTTGAAAGTTCACCCACCGTAATTTTTCAAAATAGGTTGCAAGCTCGTCATTGCCTATAATACACATGTGAAACAAGTCTAACTTTGGACTCAGTTTGCCAAGCGATTTGAAGATTATAGGTCGAGCACACGAAACATAAAAAGCATGAATTATCATAGATCACTTCTGCCTATTTCATTATGTCCATTTCATCAAACCCCCCCCCCCCCCCCCACCGTAATTTTTCAATTTAGTAAAAGCAAATATTTAGCCGAGGTAAGCAAAAACATGAATATTCATGCACACCATGGACTATTCGATTATTAACAGAGGGGTGCAATCGGTCATCACGTCAACCCCCCTAATTGCCACCAAGTATTTTATATAATTATATAGTTTGGTATGTTTCTTTTACTCACTCATGAATTATTAAATATCAATGATGGTTTAAAGAAATGTAAAAGAAATGTTAGTTGATATTTATTAACAAAGTAATTTGTATTTAGCAAAGCAATCTCACATACAAAATTACTATCAAGTGTCGTCTGCTACGTACGCCGATTGTCGCCCGCTTCGTTAAAGGCACATTATCGTTTGGACTGTAAAGTATACCAGGGAGATTTGTATTTTCCTGCAGTACAACGTATAGCAGGAAAATGTTGTATATATGCGGATCCTTTTAATGATTACGTAATGGAAGTGGCGAGGCGGTATGATTTGAATAACTTAGGCAGGTGAAAGTTATTGCATTGAGAAGGAAAGAAATGTTCAGAAAGGCATAGAGAGGGAAGTGGGCGTGGTAGCCATTCTAGCTTTGCACCTACATCAGTACGAGAATACACCCGACGGCGCGGTGGCCTGTACTTATAGCGCACGGGTGGCCAACCCGCGGCCCGCGAGCTCTTCTGGTGCGGCCCGCGGAGCAGTGAAAAAATACTTCATACATGAAATGCAGCCACATATAGCAGCGATGAAGTAGGGTAAAACATTTACACGCAGCTATCTCTAATATTTCCATAATTTGATTTCATCTTTCACAACGCATTGACTCGTTACTTGGTGATACACTGACTCCTCAAATTCCCTCTCATTACATTATATTAACGACATTAATACCCGCATTAATATCACTCGCCGTGTTAATTTCAGTTTCTAATTTCCGCACGCAACTGTTGTGATACACTGACTCCTCAAATTCCCTCTCATTATATTATATTAATGACAATTAATACCCGCATTAATATCACTCACCGTGTAAATTTCAGTTTGTAATTTCCGCACGCAGTAACAACTGTTGTGAATCGAGAAATAATGTTTGATATGCCATACTTGTTTTCAAACTTACAACTCTTTTCTCCCGCCGTACAATTTTCTCATGAATCTTAATCGTAAACTTTAGGCCTATAGTCAGTCCCCTTCCCTCTACACCGCGTTCAATTAGATGTACAGTGTACAAGTAGTACATTTAGGATATTCTTTCTGCTGTGTCCTTGATTTTGATTGAAATAACAACCAACATGGCAACGACCTCGAGACCTGCGAAGAAAAGGAGAGTTTCTGATGAAGGCAGAAACTTTAAATCAGATTGGTCTCTAAAGTATTTCTTCATAGAAGAGAAAGGTGGACCACTTTACCTCATTTTCACCAGAGTATGTAATGGAGGTTAACAACATAATAGAAAAGTGCAAGCCACAGAAATCATACTAAATATAAGCCTGATTTGTTTTTCTCACTGATCTTGTTGTTTGCTTGTTTGTTTTTGCAGAATTTCAGGTGTGTACACGTATTGCATGAGTGTGTGTGTGGGGGAGGGGGAAGACTAGCTACGGCCCGCCAAGTTATGCCAATCGTTAGCTGTGGCCCGCGAGCTTTAAAAGGTTGGCCATCCGTGTTATAGCGCATCACACCCAATGGCATACACCCGGTACCCTGGAACACAGTGGAACATTCTAAGAAATTAAAAAATTATCTACAAAATCGACCTCTTGAATCATCTGAGAAGTAACTTACCCTATTCTGATGACTTCAATGAATGTCAAGATAACAATGGCTGCTTTTCCAATTAGAAATAGTCAATTTCTCGATAATTTCACAAAATATTTTTGCCGCCGCATTCAATATGACGTCATTGACAGCTGATTGGCTAGTTTGGTAGTGACGTAGAACGAGCTATGTTTGTGCTGCAGTGATCGAGCGAGCGAAAATGAGACAATCGGAGCAATATGATTTAAAAGAAAATTAAAGCAGCATCTTATATCGAAATATCATTAATTCTTGTACCCATATTCATATTATACAGCATTACATATAACTGTTTTCGAACCTATGATTTTGTAATGATTATTTCCATTTGTATTACCTGCCATGAACGATGTCCCTGTAATGTTTTGTCATGTATGTTTCTTTTTTATTCCAGACAACTCGCCACAAAGACAACCCGCCCCAAGACAACCCGCCACAATACCCTTAACATCTCGCCACAATACCCTGGACAACTCGCCACGGTCGAGTTGTCCAGGGTGGGGTGCCTTTTCGGACAACTCGCAACACTTTTTCCCCTCATGATTTCTAGATCTAAAATCCCTCATCTTAGATGAAATTGTCATTTTATGTATTCATAATTCTTTTATAAACACAGTCATTACCAAGAATAAAGAATAAAGCTTATTTCCCTTGCAACAATAATATATATTTGACAAACCGAATTAGGCGTACGATCGCAAGATCATTGGGATAACTTCTTGGTATTTAGATCTAGAGGTCTATAACAGCTGCATTTTTCTGTCTCAGAAATTTTTTAATGGTAGGATACTGGAATCACTGACGTACTGATGGGGGAGGGGGTGGGCATTAAAATTTTGACCCGCGAAATAAAATTGAAATGTGGTTTATTTCTAGATTTTCTGGGTTAGTTTCGTCAGAGGCGGCATTCTTCGTTGGGGGGGGGGGGGGGGGGAGGGAGGGCACTGTGCCCCCACTTTTCCAGGTTCCCCTAAAGTGCCCCCTTATCCGTTGTACATGTCCTTTTCCCTTCTGATAATTTGTAATGGTAGGAATTCATGGAAGGACACTGGAAGCACTGGCGTACTGATGGGGGAGGGGGCAGTTGACCCGCGAAATATATATATATATCATAGCAAATTGTATGTCAATGCATACTTTATACTTTTGTTATTATGTCTTTTGACTTATGACTACTACTTTGCATCAAATTATCTTTGTTCTCAAGCAAGAACATGTTAGTTTTAAGTATGCACGGCAGAACGTTGTGCTTCATATTTCTTTGTCATAATCAATACTGTTATGATCATAAATATATCATAGCAAATTTCATTTTAATGTATACTTAATATATTTATTATTATGACTTATGACTAATATTAGTTTGCATCTAATCATCTTTGTTCTCGAGCAAGAACACGTTAGTTTGAAGTATACACGGCAGAACATTATATATCATATTTATTTGTCATATATCATAGCAAATTTTATTTCAATACATACTTAATACTTTTGTTATTATAACTTTTGACTTATGACTTTTGATGTCATTATACTTGCTCTATTTATGTTGATATATGCTTATTTTTCAATTAGATTTAGTATTTCCTTGAGTAATATTCTATTCTCTTTATGAATTGTGATTTTTCTTCAACAATAATTTATGTTCAAAGGTTATCCCTTTAATGAAACGATTACAAGTCTCCATTAACTTACTATCGCTTAAACTAAGTCAGTTCTTGCGATCGGTCGTCCTTCAATTTGAAATTGTTAACTCATTTTTTCATTTTTGTGTTGATTTCATACCTTTATTATACGGCTATGTTCCTTAGATCTTATGTTACTACAGTGTTGCTATTTATCGTACTATTACAAGTGGGATTATATGGGATTTATACAATCGTTTAAAAATATTAATTTAATTAGAGTTTTTCATATTAAGCGGATGTCACTCCAATCATCATCGAACACACAGGAATGGTGAAGGGAATGGAACTTGGAAGCCTACTGCATAATTTCGCTGAGGTAGAGAAAAGGTAATGTAAAGATACGCCAAAGATACATAGCAGCATATTCCTACCATTAAAAAGTTTCCTGAGACAGAAAAATGAACTTAAAAATCGAGAAGTTATCCGGCGATCGTAGTCGTACGCCTTGGGTTTGTCCAAAATCTGAAAATAGATTCTTGCTGCGGGTCTTGTTGCAAGCGCAAGGATAATCATCTTCATTCGTTAGAACAGCTCTCAAAATACTCACAATTTCCATGTTTCCTGTCATGACTGTGTTTATAAAAGAATAATGAATAGCTCTACATAAAATGACAATTTCATCTAAGATGAGGGATTTTAGATCCAGAAATCATGAGGGGAAATGGTGTTGCGAGTTGTCCGAAAAGGCACCCCACCCTGGACAACTCGACCGTGGCGAGTTGTCCAGGGTATTGTGGCGAGATGTCAAGGGTATTGTGGCGGGTTGTCTTGGGGCGGGTTGTCTTTGTGGCGAGTTGCCTGGACCCCTTTATGTTGACGCATTATGAGTAAATACAAAATTTGTATGCGATCAAATGTGTAAGATCAATAGAAATTATGTCAGTAAATAACGCTGCGACTATTTGGTTTCGGCTCATTCTAATTAGTCAACCATGCATTTATTCTCTTTTCATGTACTTTTGCATACATTGCAGCAAAGCTTAGGTCAGGTCACGGTGACGTACTATCATGATGACGTGCGACAAAACAACGCCCGTTTCTCACAAAAGGATACGCCATTTTCTCCATGACTGTTCAATCAGTTAGTGTGATCCGGAAACTGTTCTTGCCTTTGAGTAATGTACCATCAAACGCAAGTTAAATTCTTCGGAGAAAAAGCAAGGAGCTAGATTTTAAGAAAAACTTCTAGCGTTCAGTTGTGGGACAATTTTATCCACGGCTTTGTGAACCGAATGGATAATCTACCATTTTATTTAGAAACAACAGACCTTTGGTGTTATATTTGGATGGTCCGGAGCACATTGGCTTATGTGAAGGAAATCAGACGAATAAAGTGGAGATATCAAACTTGTACTAACAGCGCCAGGACTGTCCAAGACGGATTCATTCATTATAACATTTGAATTATGCTCGCTAGTATAACTTTATCAAATTAAAACCATTCCTATGCCGTAGTTTCCAATGCATAATCACCAGTAGGCTTCGATAAAATTAAACATGCAGAGTAACATAAAAAGATATATACCTTTCAAGAGCGGGTAAATTCATTGATGTATTTAGTCTCTTCCGAAGAACGATTCACAGAACGCAAAGGTGACTTTGACAAACACGAAATATTAGGTCTAGAACGAGGAAAATATTCATAAGATTTGCTTCAAAATTGGGTCCACAGATTATTAGCACAACATGGCTGAACGAGTACCAAATGAGCCTGCTGAGGTCGATAAAGCTCTTTTAAGTGCAGTTATTAATGGCCGTTTAAATGTAGTCCAGTACCTCGCTGGTCAAGGAGCACAAATTGACACTTATGATAGTAATGGTAAGACACCACTTCATGTGGCAACATTGCAGGGTCTTCTTGAGGTAGTTCAGTATCTCATTGGTAAAGGAGCACAGGTTGATAAGCCTACTAAAGAAGGTACGACGGCTCTTCTTTTTGCATCAGATGCAGGTCATCTTGACGTAGTTGAGTACCTCGTTGGTCAAGGAGCAAAGGTTGAGGAGTGTGGTAATAATGGTGTGACACCACTTTATGTTGCATCACAAAAGGGTCATCTTGAGGTAGTTAAGTACCTCGCTGGTCAAGGAGCACAGATCGAAGAGTCTTCTAATGCTGGTTTTACACCACTTCATGTTGCATCACAAAATGGTCATCTTAAAGTAGTTGAGTACCTCGCTGGTCAAGGAGCACAGATCGAAGAGTCATCTAATGATGGTTTTACACCACTTCATGTTGCATCACAGGAGGGTCATCTTGACGTAGTTGAGTACCTTGTTAGTCAAGGAGCACATGTAGACAGTTGCAATGATGTTGATGCGACACCACTTCATGTCGCATCAAATAAAGGCCATCTTGATGTAGTTCAGTATCTCATTGGTAAAGGAGCACAGATTGATAAGCCTACTAAAACAGGTGCGACGGCTTTTCTTTTTGCATCAGGTGCAGGTCATCTTGATGTAGTTCAGTATCTCACGAGTAAACAAGCAGATAAAGAAGAAGCATCACCTGAAGGTACGATTCGCATTTTAACAGTAATCACTATTTCATGTATAAAAAAGTGATGTTTTTATAGGGACAAATCTGTCATAATACTCTTATTTTTAAGTTTAATTTGATTTCAGATTTTGTTTAAAGGTATATGTAAATTTCCCCATTTAAATTAATACGATGTAATATTTTTTTCTTCAATCTTTTAAATGATGATTTTTTTTACCCCGACTTACCCAGATTTCAGAACCAGATTTCCCTGAACCTATAACTGAACTAGTTGTATACAAAATAAATTATGTATTGCCGTTTAGTCCAATGCCGAATTGTAAACATGTTCTACCAATAAATTCTGGGCCCTGTTTTACAAATCCTATTATCAATAACAAATGCTAAATTTCTATGAAAATGTTGCTCTCAGCCAATCAAATGCGAGGATTTCAGTAGCTTATAACAGTTTTTGTAACTTGTTACAGCCTTGATCCGTGTACTACTTTACGAATTAAGAACGAGTTTAGATTTAAATACAAACTTTGTTGAAGAAATTGGATTGTTCAATGTGCTTATGTGACAAAATGAATTGATATTTGAAAGTATTATACCTAATAAATATAGGACTCAGTGACTAATCCCGATTGGGGGGGGGGGGGGGGGCACGCGCGAGCCGCACTATAACAAGAGAGAGAAAAAGAAGAAAAAACATGATAAGGGTTGTATTTGTTGGTTAAAACGCACAACGCTTACACACAATTCGTCCTTGTTTTCACGAAGTGACGGTAGTGAGGAAAATCGTAACGCAAAGTGAATGCATTTTTTTTTCACTACCGTCACTTCGTGAAAACAGCGACGAATTAATGGTAATTGGACAAAATAGTTGATGGAAAAAATGGTGTTGGACGAAATGATGTAAGACCATATGAAACTGGGACCAAATGGTAATTTACACAAAATTTTCTTTCTGTGTGCATGGGGTCTGCAAGTGTTTCAGAGGCGTCTACCGCGATGGAATCAATGAATTTGAACGTCGTTACTGATGACAATGTTAAACAGAAAGGTACACAATCTGTAATACGCCTAAATTTAGTCTAAAAAACACGAGACTAGAAATTACAAGATATCCGAAGGTAGAGAAGACATTTCAATAACAATTTGAGTGTATATTTTTGGCAGTAAAGTGTACGTTTGGTATGAATTTCACGGTAAGATTTAAAAAAAAACGTATACATGTATATAGTTTTGTTATTTTTTCCTCACAATTAAGCACAATCAGTTGGATAAGTGCACAATAGTAATCACCATAGCGTATTTTAGAGAGATAGTTGTGACACGCGCACACGTACTCGATCAAAGCTCAATTTATTGGGCTCCAAGTAGTTCCCTCTCACATACAATAATATGGAAGGGGACTACTTTAGCGTTCCATGTCTTGACACGTGCGTTTGCCACAGTTATCTCTCTCAATACACTTTTGTAATCGCTTCGTCGTTCCATAATAAACAGTTCCGTTAAAAGCCTTTCTCGGGGAAATTACTACCCAAAGTGTTCAACTCATACAACTCGTCATACTTTTAATTAGCATGTAAGCTGTCTACTTTAGGAAACAACTAGCATTTCCCCTATCTTAATTTTCTAAATTATTCGACTCCTCAAATAGTGCAAATTTCAAATTAGAAAGCAAACATCTACTACGATCCTTCAATTTTTTTTTTAAATTTCAATGCATTTAAATTAATTTGGTTACTACGGCCTCTGACAAATATATGATTTATTAAGTAAACTTTATTGCATTGTAGATGCAGATAAGGTGACAAACGAACATATCAAGAACTTGTCAAAACTACCAGATATAATCCATTCCCATCATTTCCCATTCTTAAAATTAGGAATAACCGAGGCATCACTTGGAAACACAAATTTTACATCTCCGAGACCGTTGGCATCCAAAGTATTCGACATTCCTCCTCAAGGTACATCAGCAGCAGTCGGTGAAGTATCTACTTCTACAGCAAGGTTAGATTTTGTCTTAATTGCTAATGTGCTTTTTGATCATTCTTGATTAAAATCTCATTGATGTGATAGGCCAAAACTTAGGGAACAAATCGATATTGTTCTTAGATATCAATTATATGCCAGCCTAAATCAAAAGGGTATAAACGAGATCTTTGTTACGTTCTGGTACAGCGATTATGCAATGTCTCTATCAGCGCCCATTGTGACTATAATTCTGATTTATACTGAAAGGTGTATGGGCTTATCCCCGTTAAAACACAGAAGGAAAAACAAAGAGCGGAATAAGATTTGTAAGAATTCGACAATATTCAGCGTCCATTTCCAGAAGTATATTCAACGTAGTTGATAGTCTTTGACCAAACGACGACACTTTGAGCATGTCAGAGTACTGAAACCAGGAACGTGATAGAGAAGGACTGGAATCAAGCCGCTCTCCTTTGACCCCATGCTCCAAGCCGCCTAAAAGCTATGCGCTAATCTGCAACTGTTGACCAGGTGGTGGGATAAAAGAGCGTATGACATTTCAGGATTTTGAATTCCTACATCACAAAATGGTATCACAGCAACTGTTCGCTGTCCCTTAAATGATTTCTCATCCATTGTTGAATGTGTAAAGAGTAGAACAAGCGAACACAAACTTGTGTAATTTCATGCTTTTTCCAACTGCAAAAATACAAAAAACACGCATTAGCAAACGTATAGCTATCGAAGATTGTAAATCATGGATTACATAACAGGACATTAAAACATGCACAAATTAGCGCATTATCCTATAATATTGAGTTTTTGTAAGGTTCTAATTCTTCTTTTACCAACTGTGGCACACAAATTATAGGAAGGATGGAGTCCTAAATTTGTAATATTGTTTGAAGCACTTTTCCCCATACAATCCCCATAAAAACTTTATAATTTACACTGAAATTTTGCCGGTAATTTAATATTTTGTAATAAATGTGAAACTGGTGCCTGGCCTCCAGAATTCACCGCAGTAGAAGCGTGGCTCGGAGCATGGAACTTCAAAGCCAAGTGGAATGTTACACATCCCATTGTTACGCTTTAGAACTCACGAATGCGTTTGAATAAATTACAAGAGTTTCCACTCCTTTCTTTCACCTCCCTGCTGAAACACACCAATAGGTCAAGGCAGGTTTTAATTAGATTGAAGGGATATCCCACCCAATAGACAACTACTCTAAACGAAAGCAGAACAATCAGAGAAGCAAACCGATGAAAGTTTCAATTAAATCTGACTAAATGTAATAAACTTATACAATTGTGAAATTTGTTATCACTAAGGGCACTTGAAATTGCCTAAAGAGGTATATAACATCAATCTGTTCCAACATAAAATGACTAAAATTTAAATTTTTCAAAAATTTGTTCATGGCTCAGGAGGGTCTATTATATTTAGAAGACCTATACTTGTATGCTATCTATGATATATTTTAAGTAGTGCCCCAAGGGAGAAGGAATCGAAGAGAAAAACAGAAATGATTGATATTTGTGTACACGGCAAATGGAAGAGTTATCCACGTCCTACGTCACAATCCACTGACTGAACTACCAATTTGAGATTCGCATAGATTTAGTGATGTCATATTTCAAACATTCATAACTTCCTTATTATTGGTCCGATTCATTTTAAACTTTTGCCACTAAGTTCTGTTATTTTCCTGCTCTCATACAAATTAACTTATTAATAGGGTTGGATTGCAATTTAAGGTTTCCCTCGCGAAAACAAACTGATGCTTTACAAGGCATCTTATATTTGAAGAGAAGAACGAATTAGTAATTAATTAATACTCAAAAAGGGAGGGAGCAGGATGGGGGTGTATTCAACCCACTCCCCCTCTTATTGTTGTGGGTGGTACATGTTCGAAGAAAAACAAAACATCGAACGTACCGTAGCGCCCCCCCCACCCCCTCCAGGCACTGTTAGGGTTAAAAGGAAAGTCCACCCTGATATCAAGTCGGTTTATTAGAAGCAGACAAATAAGAGAAAAAGTCGGGTAAAGTTTGGGCGAAAACCGATACAAAACAAGAAAGTTATAATCTTTGAAAGGTGCGGTCGTTCAAATCCAAATTGGCCACTCTGTGACGCATATTGGGAGGTCCCCTCCCATTTGCCCTGTACTCTTTATAATGTGTAAACAAATGTTTCTTTATTTAAACATTGTTGTTATAACTTGTAAATTCAATAGTAGGAATCACTTGATCGAGCCTTACCCTTCTCCAACAATACTGAAATAATACAGTGCGAATTATCGATGTTTTTAACTTTAACCCCGTCTTAATTGGAAAATAAAGTCGCGGCGACGTCCGGACGACTATTTACCCACTTTCAATTAAGACGCGTCAATCGGGGTAACGTCTGGACGATATCGAGGTAAATCTCACCCTAGACGAGCTAGGGTGGTACTGGTAGGAGGGTGACTTTCCGATAAACGGCCTATTAACGCTCGCGGAATGTTACCCTGGTAAATTACGTCATCGCCCTGAAAAAATGTATACAATACCCGCAATTTGCACGTCATGTACACAGCGCACGCCAGCTGATCGCGATGAACAGGTGGCAGTTGTTATGGTAACCTACCCGGGTGAAGTTTTTGTTGATGGCTCACCCCGTGTTTTACGATCAGACCCCCCACTGTTTCTCATCCACATATCGCTCGGGTAAGATCGAAAAAGTTCTATTAAGACGGGGCTTTAATCACAATTATAGTCCTTATATTAAAAGACCGACTGGTAGTAATAAGAATAAGTATATTGATCATAAAAATGTTCTAGTAACTACTTTTCGGCTAGCTAAACAAAGATATTATTTAAATTTATTTCAGGAAGCTCAGAGAGATATAAAGAAAACATGGTCACATATTAATGATGTATTAGGACTGGCTAAAAAAAACATGTTTCGTCAAGAGATGTTCCATGAAGATACTTTATTGGTTACAAGTAAGGAGAAGGCTGACTACTTTAATAAATATTTTATTGAGTTGCCAGCTAAAATAAGCAGGGAAATTCCTTCAGTCCAAAACTCTTTTCATGAGTACTTAAAGCTGACTATAGATAATGCATCTTTGTTCTTGAAACCAACTTCCATCTCTAGGCGCATTTATACTGTCAAATACCTCATTTTGAAAAGTCGCGATGTTTCGTGCACCCGGTTACACTTGTGCTGAAACATCACCGACGGAGCTGTTCAGCGATGTTTTGGCGTGTTTCGGTTGGTAATGCGCATGTGCAGTCTTCCCGACCTTTGACCCCGGCCTGCTATAAGATTTTTAGCGCGCGCAATTTCCAGCTAGCGCTATAGCTAGCTAAATAGCGATACATCCCATGCGCATGCATGCGATATGTTTTGTTTATCTCGCGTGTAGTATTTGAGGCAAGAGTGGATAAGTTACGAAGTACGGACTACGGCTGCTGATTCAGTTTTCCCAAATTCAATCGAAATCTAGTAGTAAAAACGATATGGGAAGGTTAAGAAAATCATCGTTGTTAATTGGAATTATGAGAATTCGCCGACGTCGTAGGGAAAGTGATCGTCGTGCTCGTTTTTTTAGGTACTTTATGAGGCGACAGCAAGAGCTCACCAACCTCATTTTGACCCTCGTTCTGGTGGAGGAGCTCTCCCTGCCTCCACATCGAAATCAAGAACTTCATCTCATCATCAGTCCAATGGGAATTGTTCACTTCCATATTAATTAATCTAACAAAACACTCAAATACTACTACTAGACAGATATGGCCAGACGGGAATAACGAAGATTGAATAAAGGATGAGTTAACGGAATTGGAACAAACGGAGCTGAATGAACGGATAACACGCGCGACGATGGAAATGCTATAAATATCACACGGGAAGAACGTGGTTTAAGAGAGCGCGGGTAACAATCCGGAAGTGCCGGAAGTCACGTGCCTAACATCGCGATGTTACAACTGCGAGCGGTTATACTTGCCAAACACGCCAAAACACGCCAAAACACGCCAAAAGATCACACTTCGTTTTGGAATGTTTGGGGCTTGGCATGTCTGCCGGTAAAGCGTAGTTGCCCTTGGTAACATCGCGGCCAGGCTCCGGTTTGGCATTTTTTGGCGTGTTTGGATGACAGTGTAACTGCCCCTAGTTTGTTTCAACCTTGAAGTCAACAAAATCAAGTGGGTCAGATGATATTGCCCCTCGGATTGTAAAGTAATGTATTCATGTTTTTGTGGAGCCCTTGTGTGATATTTTTAACAAATCACTGTCACAGGGAGCAGTTCCTGATAAGCTTATTAAGGTAGCCAAGTTAGTTCATGTATATAAAAAGGATGATAACAAGAACATCTCCAATAATAGACCTATAGCCCTTTTAACGATTTTTTCTAAGATTTTAGAGAAACTAGTTTATAAGCGTTTAAATGAGATCTTGTTAAAAAGGGATATTTTAATTCCTGAGCAGTTTGGTTTTCGAAAACACTTCTCTACTAGCATGGGTGTCTTTAATCTGTTAAATTCAGTTACAAAATCATTTGATGATGGTAAATATTGCTTAGGACTTTACTTGACTTGTCAGAGGCATTTGACACCATTGACCACTCTATCCTACTAAGAAAGCTCGATCACTATGGTGTATGTGGAATAGCATTAACTTGGTTTAAAAATTACCTATGTCATCGAACTCAATGTTTTGGTCAATGGTGTCAAATCCCAGACTACTGACATTCAGTATAGTGTACCAAAAGGATCAGTGCTAGGTTCTCTGCTATTTTTAATTTATATCAACGATCGATGTTATTAATTCGTCAATTGTTTGCATGGTTTAGCTGCAATAAGTAGTTGCTAAATATTCAAAAGACAAACTGTGTTATTTTCAGATCCAAGGGTAAACGAATTCCAAACAATGTTGATCTTCTGGAGGTAGGAGGTCGTAGAGTAGCGCGAAGTGAGCATGTTAAATTCCTCGGTGTTATTAGATATGAGTACTTGTCTTGGAAACGCCATTTGGATGCTATATGCGGTGGTCACATCCCGCCGTACTTGCAAGTGCGTGCTGTCTACGTGCAAAAACGTGGGTAAAATTTGGGTATCCGCACGTGGTGAGTACCGCCTCCGTACGGATTTGGGAGCCCGCAGACACACCGTAGCACTTTTAGTGCACGAGGAACTTTCGCTGCGTTCAGGCTGCGGTCGGGCTACCGATTCACCCCAGTACGTGTGACGTGCGTTGTCGGTACTCCCTCCCTGCCTTTGCCACTCCCTCCCTACGTTTTCAGAAAAACGTGGCGGCCGTGGCCTCCCCAAAAACCGTACGGACTAAAAACACGCACGGTGGGATGTGACCAACGCTATAGGCACAAAGATTTCGCGAAGTGTTGGTGTCATATGTAGGTTAAGATTTATCCTACCTAAGAATGTTTTGTTAATTTTATATAACAGTAATGTTCTCCCTTACCTTACGTATTGCAATGTTGCATGGGGTAATGAGATGAAGTTGTTGACTTTAGATGAGCTTGTGTCATTCAGTATACTATGTCCCATTTGCAGGCCAAAAAATGAAAAAGTTAAATTCCAACTGCATTTGAAAGATGATACTAATTTAGAACTTCCCTAAAAAAAGTGGGGCTTGAAAATGTCTTCAAGTGGGAAAATAACGACTATTAGTTGTCAAATCGACTTTAGAGCTATAGAGCCCAAAAGTAATAGTCTTGATTTTCAGACAATTGTACCGAATGGTCATACGTTTTATGCTGCGCAAAGATTCAATCAGTTTAATCTTGGCCATCACAATAAGTGGGTTATTGATGTAGACAAATGCTCATGTACCCTTTACAATTCTTTTCATGTATGTTATTACCAAAAAAGAAAAAAAAGCCAGTCAGTCACTCAATAGTGTCTGACAGTGAAGTCTAGCAAGCAAACGGGTTTCCTTGCATAATTTGAATATGAGGACACTGCTAACGTTTAAATTTCACAGATAGGACATACATGACACATTCATAATTCCTGCAAAGTTCTACAGCATTTGAGGTTGGCTGCAAAAGGGACATAGTACCTTTAATCAGGAAAAATGAGACAGGAATAACAAAGTTCTGTTTGTTCAAAGTGATGCTTGCATTTCTATAATTTGATTAAACGAATTCGTTTTCACTGGCTGCCTGCCGGAGCAACAAACGGAATTAAAAAAAGAAATAACTCCGTTTCGTTGACGATCACACATAGACGAAAGACTTCATGCATGGCTGATTGTCAATGAAACGGAGTTAAGTCTTTTGTCAATTCTGCTCGTTGCGTTGCCACTGAATCATGACTGTACGCAGCGGGGGCTAGGGTAGGGGGCAGCCCCCACAAATAAAAGAAGAAAAAAATGAAAATGCAAACAATTAACAATAAATCATTACATTTTACCCCGGTCCCCATCAGGAAAATTCCTCTGGACAGCCATGCATTATGGTTAAAAAATAAAAATTGAAATAATTTTGATTGTCTGGCTTGAAGTCTGAACTTTAACCTAGGAGAGCTATTAAGTGATACTGATTATATTGTCCATCTATTTGAAATAATTATACTGACATTTCTATTTTGTATTCTTCTTATTCATGTTGGTTTTGCTGATGTTTGTATTCATGTTCTTCTACTCTTGTTGTTGTTATTCTTATCCTACTACTACTTCTTCATTTTCTTCTTCATTTCTCTGTCTTCTTCTTCTTCTGCTTCGTCTTCTTCTTTTGCTTCATCATTATCATCATCACCATACCATCTTCTTCTTTAACATCAACCTCTTCCTACTATTCCTTTAACAATATTCTAAAGGCTCTGCATTATTATCCCTAAGATGACTACAGACTGCAAGTAATACAAGGAGCATTATGCATTTGTTTAGCTTCAGAGTAAAACTATTACATATCTTAAGAGTATTTCCTTGATTTTCTGAGGAGTTTCGATACATGTTCATGGCTCCCGGAATCTCGTATAGAGGCCTCTTCACTACATAATAAACCATTAGTGTAACTTCTAGACAGTTTCAGATCAGTTAAACGACTAGAATAGTTCAATACTGAGTAATGTTATCTACATGTCTTTGAAGGAGTCATCTCAAACGGGAAGAGGGTTTTGATGGCGTCTTGAAAAAAGTGGCGTGTCTCATCCCAGACAACACGAAAATACATTCTCTCGGCAAGGCCCTTGGTTTTGATCCAGCCGAAATTGAGAGGTACATAGCCACGAATACCCGTTGTCAGCATGTGACGTATAATGATGGTACATTGAAGATGCTCCGCGATTGGCGAGATAACCAGACAGATGCAGAAGAACGACCAGCTCTTGCAGATGCCTTGAAGCTGGCAGGGCTTGAAAGACTTACAGACATGTTCTCGAGGAATTCTAAGGTTCCAGATCTCCAAACCGGTGAGTACTCTCGAACAAGTAATTCGTCAAACTCATGGGGGGGAAAAGCCGCCTACACAAGCCTTGAAATTAACGGCCAGGAACAAGGGGGAATTTATTTGTAAAAAGTTACCCCTCGCCCACGGGGATTGATCCAGAACCAGGGACAATTTTCAAAAACTTAGATAATGAAACCAATTACGCAAGTTAAATAGGCTCAAACATACAATGTTAATTTCATAATGCGAATACTATCAATTTTAATAACTTCTTAATCTTAACAAGATCAACAGTAAAGATTGCCATCACGATTTAGAATATCAAATTGCACATTAAACAGTATTTTAATGAAACTAAAAATACCGAGGAGCAAATAAATGAATAAATCGTCAATTTAACGCACATCGGAAGTCGGAAGGTTTTGACAAGTCTATCCCAAACCGAAATCGCAACTTCCACACAAACCTTTCGTCACACTCTGGGCGGATCACGAACAGTCTGTGGTGGGAAGCGGGCTGGCAGTTTGACAGGCTACACCGCTAGATCCGCTGCACGCAGAATTGTACATTAATGCACACAAGCAAGCAAAAAACACCTCTCACCATCTTCGGTTCGCCCCTGCAATTACTTATTATTTTTCCACCGTAAAACGAGATTTACAGAGTTGAACTCAATGTGCGGGAGTGAAGAGTAAAAAATAAAAATATAACAGGATTGTAACTTTGTTCTTCCCCCGTCGGAACGCAATGTATCGAATGTATTTTGTTTGGGTGTGTATTGTTCCCGTTGATAGTATAGTACTAGAATATATAGTTACTGTAGTACGTATTTCACGTTAACAAAAGTGTACCCCCCCCCCCACACACACACTTGTTCAAGTACCCCTAAAGTGCCCCTTTCTACTTCAGATAAGTGCCTCTTTTCTTATAACTGCCGTTTCCCCCTTTATCATAAATGCCCGGCCTTTTTATTTGTGATTGGTGCTCCTATTCTAATCTGATAGGTGCTCCTGATAGTTGGACAATTGACTTTTCCTTTTCTAATAAGTGTCCTTTTCCCTACCGATAAGTGCCTCATTTACTTTGACACATGCCACTCACCCTTTCAATTACTTGAACCTTTCCCTTTTGATAATTGCCCCTTTATCTTTTGTAATAACTGCCCTTTCCCTTTCCTATAAATGCATTTCCCTTTTAAGAAGTGCCCCTTTTCTTCTCCGATGAGTACCCCCTGTTTACGGATGAGAATGCCCTTCCTCACCCCTGAGACGCGCCTCTTTTACTTTGAAAGGTGCATTTTTCAATTTTGGAAATTGCTTTTTGCTGCTTTTGATAACAACCCATTTGCTCCCCTTGTTTTTGACTGATGTAATTGCCCTTTGCTAGGCGCCACTTTTGGCCTATATCTCCCGCTGTTGCTTACAGACTGTGCCATTTTGTGGTCGTCTGAAGTACCATATCTAGCCGGGGGGCACAATTATCAAAATGTCATACAAACTAACTGTGCCCCTTTCCGAAATATAATCGTGCTCGTTTTAAAAGCTATCGAACCTCCCTTTTCTAGGCTAATGTAATCGATAACCCTTTGTTCCATAATATACCTATTCATACTACATTATCATTGTGTGTCATTCGTGTAAAACAGACTGAGATATGTAATTATTTTACGTGCTATATTACAAGATGTTGTTATCACCCCCTCATTTCCCCAGAAACAATATATTTACCATAGCCCCTTCCCTAACTTGTACTCTAATTCACATGGACTAATCGGTTGCAATGTGACCACAATTGTTTTTTAACATTATTGCTCGCTCGTTTGGCTCGCTTGCACATGAACAGCAAAGTATGGTGCTGAAGCACTATCTTGGACCACATAAAGATGAACAAAATAAGAATATCCCTGATGATTTAGTATTAACACTTTGGTAACAATGTATACAAATTGTTTTTTTCACATTTTTATGTTACTTTTTGAATGTTTCCCACACTTAAAATCAGGAATAACTCAAGCATCACTAGTGAACACAAATTCCACATCTCCGAGACCGTCAACGTCGGCGTCCAAAGTAGTCGACATTCCTCTTCAAGGTGAATCAGCAGCAGTCGGTGTAGTATCTACTTCTACAGCAAGGTAAGATTTTGTTCTTAATGGCTAATGTGCTTTTTGATAATTTCTGATTAGAATCTCACAGATGTTATAGCCCAAAACTTAGGGAACAATATCGATATTGTTCTTAGATTTGAACTATATGCCAGCCTAGATCAAAAAGGTATAAACGAAATTGTTTGTGTTCTGGTACAACAGTTTTGCAACGTATCTATCAACGTCCTTTGTTACTACAACTCTGATTTATACTGAAAGGTGGGGGTGGGGGGTAAGAGGACACATTTTTTTTTTTTTTTTGGTCTCGAAATTTGAAAATTTGCCTTTTTCCTCCGTTGGGGGGGAGGGGGAAAGGTCAGCTTTTTTAGGTCAACCATGGGAATTTTTTTTTTTTTTTTTTTTTTTTTAATTAAAAAAAAAAAAAAAAAAAATCCAAAAGGGGGGTGTTTTAGAGAAATTTAGGGGGGGGGGTTTACACACAAAAAATTACCAAAGGGGGGGGGGGGGGGGGGGGGGGGTGGGGGGTAAGAGGACACATTTTTTTTTTTTTTTTTGGTCTCGAAATTTGAAAATTTGCCTTTTTCCTCCGTTGGGGGGGAGAGGGAAAGGTCAGCTTTTTTAGGTCAACCATGGGAATTTTTTTTTTTTTTTTTTTTTTTTTAATTAAAAAAAAAAAAAAAAAAAAAAAAAAAAAAAAATCCAAAAGGGGGGTGTTTTAGAGAAATTTAGGGGGGGTTTACACACAAAAAATTACCAAAGGGGGGGGTTTAACCCCCCAAACACCCCCCCTGTGTACGCGCCTGCAACCCACACACCTCTATATTTTTGGCTGGTACCTGTTCGAAGAAAAGAGAAACGTCGAACGTACCGTAGCGTGTGTTCGAGGGAGGGTGGGTTCTTCCCCGGACCTTTAGGGGTAAAGGAGAAGTCCACCCTTTAATGAGAGAAGAAGTGAATTCGGTGAATTTGAGCAAAATCCGATACAAAAAAAGAAAGTTATTATTTTTTCTAAAGTTGCGATCGTTCAAACCCAAATTGGCAACTCCGTGACGTTTCTTGCTGCGAGGTCCTTTCTCATTCGCCCTGTACACTTTAGAATGTGTAAACAAATGTTACATTATTGAAACATTGTTGTAATGTCTTGTAACTTTGCCATTATGGATTATTTGAGCCTTGCCCATCTTCAACAAATACTAAGTAATATAAGGATGATGATAATTTATAACTGTTTTGTGTAGCTCCCTACTAAAACGTAACAATGTAATAAACAGGTAAGTGAAAGTTTGATCACTACAAGGTACACGTAACAAACCTTGGTGTTTGAAGTATTATTACCCAGGTCAAAGGACCCAATTCCCATTCTGCATTTATAGGGTTAGGAGAAGAAGTAGGTCAGTGAAAGTTTAAACAAATCCGATTGAAATTAAGAAAGTTTACAGTTTTGGAAGGCGCGATTAACCAAATACAATTTTGCAACTCCGTGACGTATCTTGTGAGTCCCCCCCCCCTTGTTTGCCCTTTACTAACAAACTTCAAAAAGAACATTTTAATGCAACCATTGTATGAAACAAATCTATTCCATCATCAATAACTAAGTAATGGAAGTTTATGAAATGTTCTGTACTGGTGAAATAGGAGAGGAGCTCGCAAAATACGTCACAGTGTTGCCAATTTGTTTCTCTGATCTCAACTTCAGAAACTCATAACTTTCATATTTCCTTAATCGGATACTGGTCAAACTTTCACTAAATAATTTGTTCTGCTCATTGTTATGCTTGTATTAAAACCAACTTAATATCTGGATGGATCACCCCCTCAAGACATGAAGAGATATATATTTTAATCTTGTCATATTAATCTTATTAGTATTAATCCAAATTTACTGTCATTAATATAATAAAATTTCAAGTTAAGGAAGTCATTTTATCTAAAGCTTAAATGTACAGGTGAAGGGTATCTAAATTTGGGGACTGTTGATAGAAACTGAATTTATCCTGTTGCAATATAAATGGTATACGATAATATTCATAGTTTGGATTACCTATCAGATTTTCAATTATTTCCACACAATCTCTTTTTCGAAATATCAAGAATTAGCTATAAAATAAGAGGGAGAGAAATTATTGTTTATTAGTGAGTATCAATTGTAAGCTGCGCACACGTCGTGCGAAATACACTTTTATTGGAATCTTTTACCATGAGTATCATGAATACGAATTTTTAATTAAGATTACATACAAATTCCTATAGACAATATAGATTTGAAATCTCCCCTCAGCAATTGTCGTCAAAGCCTTTGTAATCGTGGTATTTGAACTTAATAAAACTGAGGTGCCTAGTGTGGCGAAACAAAATAATGAACGATAAAATTGCACCCAAAACAAATTCATAATAATAAAAATTACAGCATTTTGAATGAATCTGTATTTCTTTATTCATATACATGTTTTTAACCAGGAAAGTGAGCGACGCAATGCTAAATAATTTGGCAAGAAAAATTCCAGTCCGCAACTACGACACGTTTAGCGAAAGGCTAGGAGTCGAGCACAACCAGGCCATGAATATTCTCGAAAGGTATGGGAACAACTATGAAAAGGCAACGAGGGATTGCATGGCGATATGGAAGGATAGATCAACCCGTAGTATGGCTGACTTGCATGAAGTTTTGAGAAAAGCTGAATTGGGGGGTTTAATTATTGTTAACTATAATTACGATCAAGAAAGTTTGGAACCACACAGCGATACTACTCTCAGCAGAGGCCTGAATCCTGAAGAAGCAGGTTTGTGGATATGTTTGTTCTGTTTTTGTGTTAGCTTTAATTTATTTGTGGTGTTGTCCTGGCCTTTCCCATGTTTTTCTATAGTTTATAACGGTTTGGCATTCTGTGGCAGGCCATTTTTTGTTCTCTTTATCCTGACGTATTTGTTGTGTTATTTTTGATCTTCAGTATCAAAGATGGTACTGAAAAGTTTTGAAGAAAAATACAATTTAGTCAAGATGTATATTGAAACAATTAAAAAAGTTGCATGACACCACATCACATTCTAGCTATCTGGTAATGTTTAACTTGCTATTAAGGCAGAATTGCGCAGCAAATTGGTCATTAAAATCATAAACATATAATTTAAATTACTAGACTTCCCCTTTAATGAACAGGAAGAGGGTTTCCTCGGAGTGGTGGTCGTTGGTTGTCCTTGGGGGTAATTGTCCTATAAGGGTAATTTTTGTATAGAGAATCATAAACTCGTATTTTGCAATGTAATATATGATGCGATAGTCTACTATGATATATAATGATTTACTTTCACAGAGGATGAATATAGAAAAGCTCTTGCGGATGAAGAAGCAAAGAGGGTGACCCCACCACAGGTAGTTATTATATCCATACATGTATTTATTTTTCTGATTTGAGGAAAACCAGTAAGAGAGAATGAAATGGCTATCGTACTTGTTAATCCAAATGACAATATTCATAAAAGTAAATATAGTAGTGAGTGATGATTATGATGGAGAAGACAAGTTAAGCCAGAAGATTTGTTTTAAGTTCATGATGATCAGCCAAACAAATAAGTGATATTGGAAATTGCGCTCAATGAATTTGTTAGCAATATACCTGAGTAGTAAGCAAAGAATAATTACATGGGCTATCTGAGACTACAAACACTGCATGTACAATATATTAAGGTCGCTGTTTCCTTTGCATATGCATTTCATTCATGATAATGTATTTTGATTATTTCATTAGTGTAACACTAGTTTGCATTTAACTCGGTATTAGCCATTCAATTAGTCATAAACCCTAGTACATGCATTAGCTTTTTGCATCTGGAATGTCAAGTACATAGTCAATCATGCAACGACACAATATATTGCTCTAGACCAGTCTAGAATGATAGTGTAAACAGAAAAAAGTGAATTAATCTCATCAGCCCCTGACAAATGTAGTTCTAGTTGCTAATTGTGATGCGGCTAGTGCAAGCTTCTCGATGACAATATTAATACTGGTTTATTTTATGCATAGGACCAAGAAAGTTTGGAACCACACAGCGATACTACTCTCGGTAGCGGTCTGAATGCTAAAGAAGCAGGTTTGTGTATATGTTTTGTTCTGTTTCTGTTAGCTTAAATTTGTTTGTGGTGTTGTTCTTGCTTTTCTCATGTTTTTGTTATAGTTAAGAACAGTTTTGCTTCCTGTGGCACGTCAAATTTGTGTCTTTATCCTGACGTATTTGTTTAGTTATTATTGATCTTCATTATTACAGATGATACTGATAATAAGGAGGGAAACGATGACCAAGTGACATCTCTCACACATGACCCGGGGACCAATCGGGATGATATTTCCTTCGGTGGTCTTTCGGCACCCCCCGAGATTCTCGCTCGGGGGCTGAGAGCACGGCGAGCGTTTGCTGAAGCAGCTCAAGCTGGCACGAAGAAAGTTTTTCGAACTCGCCTGATGCTTGTTGGACGAGAACGTGTTGGAAAGACAAGTCTAAAGAAAACTCTTACAGGACAAAGGTAATCTCTTGATTACCCCCTTTACCTGTTTAAAACCTTATCTCTCTCTCTCTCTCTCTCTCTCTTTAATGTTCCCTGATTATCTGTCTTTGTATTATGTTTTTTCATTCATTTGACAACAAAAATAAACAACTTTATTACCAGTCATGTTGACTTAAAATGTTCTGTTTGGATACATGAAATATTTGTCCAACATAATAAAGGGTCAGGTAGCAAGATGATTTTGATCTTGTTTATTCTGACTTCTCGGTAATTAAAATAGTTTCCTTTGTGATTCCTCTTCCTTTTTTTAACTCATAGCCTACCATAAGGCTGTATGCACGCTATTGTTAAAGTGCTTTGTACACACGAGTAATCTCCTCTGCTTCTTGCATGAATGCAGACATTCATAATAGCAGTAATATTGTTCATGCCCATTGGACTGTGCCTAGTGTTTTGAACGCGCTATTGGTCGTACCATCGCGTTAATTCGATTCTCTCGTTATAAATTTGGCATTGGGGGATTTGTGGGTTGGCACAGGATCCCTGTGGCCTGTGGCAGGATAAGAGTTAATCGCAATTTTTTCTCATATTTTCTCTTTTGTTGGTTATACAATCATTTTTAATCAGTGAAAATGTACATGTATTATATATTGTGGTCGTTTGTGATAACATTTGTGAATGTGCAAATTATTAGTACTATAGTGTGGTCACTCTGATTTGTATACCATGTTTATAATCGTGGTGTGATGTCTATCATTCAATGGGCTATCCAATTTGTATGGCAAGTTGCTTTGAAGGAAATCCGATTATCATTGTTTAAAAATTTGTAATGTCGTGTGATGTCGTATACGGCAACTTCACCAATGTGGTACAAAATAAATGTGATATAATTGGCCAATATGAAATTCGATTCAGTTAAATAATGGCTTATTAGACAACATGTTAGACGACAATAAGCCGTGAATACACATAATAAAAAATATCCAATACGCCAGGATATATAAACAGTAATAAACATTGATAAAATCTTATCCAATGTAGATGATAATTGTTGCTGGATACAGACGAAATACATTATCAATGTTATAAATATAAAGGTCAAAGGAAAATAAGCAGTAACAAGAAAATAAAGCACATACTTGAAAAAGATCAGAATAGTATATATACTACATATGATCTCTGTCTCTCTCTCTCTCCCTTTCCTTCTTCGTTACTTGGACTCGGAGTACAACCATTGGGACAAGGTGCTATGGATAGAACTGAAATTATTGATAGTTTTATGTGGCAATATATGGGAGAGCTCTCTATCCCCAATTACGTCGCAAATTGTTTCACAATTAAACTCACATCATTCAACAATTTGAAATTTACATAGGTTAAGTGATTGTAATTTCGAAACATGTTTAATTAATCATGTATTTATCAGATTTTGTTAATTGTAATCGGATTTGTCTGATTTTACCGAATTCAGCTTGTTGAACGTTTTGAATAAGATTTACTTTTGTGCATCGGAATGTAAGTGTGTGCATATAATAAACATTAATATTATTGTTATTAATATTTGGTTTTTTAATTACATTTTTATTCAAATTTGTATTGAAATTATAATTGTTATTATTATTAATCTTATTTTTTATTTTTTTTTATTTCTTCAGATTTGATCGAAGTGAGGCAATAACGGACGGTGTAGAGACAAACGTATGTGAAATTTGCATCGAGGTTGCAAAGGCTGGCGAGAATATGTGGTCAATTCACAAGAAAGGACATGGGATTGGGAATGAAGATACAAAAGGTAAGTAGAACTTTTTTAAAGATTTGGCCTTGACTATGAGAAAAATGATATTCTCTGCAAAGGTATATCTTTAATTCGACATCAAGCTGTTGGTGACAAATAAGGACTGAAATTACTTTTAAATCAATACTTAAAGCGTATCTTTACATTTGTATATCCTAACGTTACAATTTATAAGCACATAATACCTTTGGTTTATAAACGTATTTTATTATTATTTCTTAGTGTTCTTATTATTATTGTCGTTTTTATATTTATTATTATCATCATCATTATCATTATTGTTATTGTTTTGTTGTTATTATTATTGTTATTATCATTATCATTAATCCTGTATGAAAAAATTCTGAACTAGCAATTACATAGGTATAGTTCTTTCAGTGGTAATATAGATATAAGAAGTGACCTAAATTGTCATTATGCTATCATAGCAATGTCACTGTTTTTGTACGTGCTATGTAACTGTCAAATTATCGAACTAATCAATAAACTGCAAAGTATTCTGGAACAACTTTCCAATTTCCTGTACAATCAGACTTTTTTTTAATCCATTTATTTCACAAGCTTCTTTTCCCTTCAGGGTTTGTATTCTTGTTATGGATAGCATTTTGTTACAAGTCACCAAAAACATATCCTTTTCAGTCATAAGTTTTGAAGAAAATCATATTTTAGTCAAGGTGTGTATCAAAACAATTGGAAGAGTTGCCTGACATCATACGTCTAGCTTTCTGGTAATTTTTAACCTGCTATAAAGGCAGGATTGCACATTATGAATTGTTCATCTAAATCTTATATGTCAATTACTCTAGAATCATACAATCTTATATTACAATGTAAAATGTGATATATGATTATTTAATTTCAAAGAGTATGAATATAGTAAAGCTATTGCGGATGACATAGCAAAGAGGCTGATCCTGACCCCACCACAGGTAATTATTATCTCTATACAGATATCATTTTTTCTGAGAATGAAATGGCTGTCGTACTTGTTAATCTAAATAAAATTATCTATAAAAGGAAATGTAACAGTGGGTTAATTTTATGTTGGAGAAGTGAAATTCAGCCAGAATATTTTTTTTTCTTCATTCATGACGATCATTCAAACAAATTAATGATATCGGAAATTGTGCTCAATGAATTTGATAGCAATATACCTGAGCAGTAAGTTAAAAACGATGATTATATGGGTTGACTAAGACTACAATGCACTACAGTATATCGTGGTCGCTGTTTCATTTGCATATTAATTTCATTCATGACAATGTATTTTGATTATTTTCATTAGACCAAGACAAGTTTATATTTAACTCCGTATTAAAGGTACTATGTCCCATTTGCAGGCCCAAAAAATGAAAAAGTTAAATTCCAACTGCATTTGAAAGATAATACTAATTTAGAACTTCCCTAAAAAAGGTGGGGCTTGACAATGTCTTCAAGTGGGAAAATAACGACTATTAGTTGTCAAATCGACTTTAGGGCAATAGAGCCCAAAAGTAATAGTCTTGATTTTCAGACAATTGTACCGAATGGTCATACGTTTTATGCTGCGCAAAGATTCAATCAGTTTAATCTTGGCCATCACAAGAAGTGGGTCATTGATGTAGACAAATGCTCATGTACCCTTTACAACTCTTTTTATGTATGTTATTACCAAAGAAGAAAAAAGGCCAGTCAGTCACTCAATAGTGTCTGACAGTGAAGTCTAGCAAGTAAACGGGTTTCCTTGCATAATTTGAATATGAGGACACTGCTAACGTTTAAATTTTATTTTTTCATAGTACCTTTAACCTAGTACATGTATTAGCTGTTTGCATCTGGAATGCCAAGTACATAGTCAATCATGCAATGACACCATTAATTGCTCTAGACCAATCTAGAATGGCAGTGTAAACGAATAAAGAGTGAATTCATCTCATCAGCCCCTGAAAAAGTAGTTCTAGTTGCTAATTGTGATGTGGCTAGTGCAAGCTGCTCCATGAAAATCTTAATGTTGGTTTATTTTGTGTACAGGACCAAGAAAGTTTGGAACCACGCAGCCATACTTCTCGCAGCAGAGGCCCAAATCCTGAAGAAGCAGGTTTGTGTAATATGTTTTTTTTTCTTTCTGCTAGCTTTAATTTGTTTGTGTGTTTATTTGTGGTCTTTGTCGGTTTGTTCGTTTGTTTTCCTAACTTCAATTCAATCCTTAATTCATCGTCCATAAGATATATTGTATAATAAATATTGATGATAAATTAGTATTTACTTGTTAAACTATTTTTCTCAGTGCACAATTTATGCTAGCCTTATTAAATGTCAGTTACATGAAATATTCTCATAATAATAATTATGGTGATGATAAAAGTCCCATTTGTAGGCCTATAGATTAAAGAAAGATGGTGCACATGCTCCAATCCTTAATGATTATTCTAACCAGGCGTCGTTATTACTAATGCACACACATGCCATCCCAGCCACATTAACTTTCGCATTCTCTGCAATTTGATCTCTTTAATCCTGAAATTTTAAATTTTTCGAACTGTTTGTGACAAATGAGGGCAAAAAACACTTTTAATTCAAAACTAAAAGCATACTTTTCATAAATGTTATGTTATCATTTTAAAGCAAATAGTGTCTGTGCTTTATCATGTGTATTATTATTATTATCATTATTATTATTGTTTTTATTATTATTGTTATCATTATTATAAACATTATTATCATTATCACTATTGTTATAATGCCATCAATATCTACTTTGATAGCTATGCTGGTTGTATTTCATTGTCATATTGAGGGCAAGCTACTTTCCGTAGCCTTAGGCCTCAAATCCTTTTTCGTAAGAGTCTTGCGCGGCTGCGGTACCAAGCAGAGCTTCTTTCTGCAGAAACAACCTCTTTGGGTCATACTGGAACATACGGTTGTGTCTGTATTGCCTTATTCTCTGCTCGTATCTTCTCAGTTTTGCAGCTTTCGGTGTCACCTGCTGCTTCATCTCCCCATTGACTGCCTTTCGTCCCTTCCTTTTCACATTTTACTTGTTCTCGATATGAGCTATGGCCTCTTTATTCTGTTGCCCAGGTTCTTCTCCTTCCTCTCTAACTTGCTTTATTGGTCTATGTTTCCTAGGATTCTCCTTTTCCAATAAAGGCTCTTTTCTCTTGTGAAATACCCAGGTTTCGGGAGGCAACCCTCGCTGCAGCTCGTATAAGTCTATTGGTCTCGGTGATATCTTTTGTCACAATATGCCTCAGGACTTAATTCACCTCTCTTAGCCGCCTGTTCTGTCAAACTGCTTAAGTGAACTTAGCTGGTGCTTCTTAATTTCTTCTAGAACCTTTGTTCTAGATGCAGTAGTTACAGGACATGGAATTATATTCCGAGCTATATGGTAATTTTTAATTTGCTACAAAGGCAGGATTGCACATCAAATTGTTTATTAAAGTCATATGATTTAAAGTACTCTAGATTCATACAATCTTATATAACAATGTAATATATATTACAATAGTAGAATATGATGATTTACTTTCTCAGAGGATGAATACGAAAAAGCTCTTGCGGATGAAATACCAAAGAGGCCGACCGTTACCTCACCACAGGTAATTATCATCTCCTTACATGTATTTCTGATTTGAGGTAAACCAGTGAGAGAAAATTAAATGGCTATCTTACTTGTTAATCCAAATTCAAATCTGTATAAAAGTTAATGTAGTAGTAAGTTATGATTATGAAGGAGATCCTGTCAGAATTAAATAAATGTAAATTCACGATGACCTTCCAAAGGAATAAGTGATGTCGGAAATGTAATCAATGAATTTTAAAGATATATACCTGAGTAGTAGGTAATACATTATAATTTATGAATGATAAATAATAATGGGCCGTCTGAGACTGCAACCCACTACAGCAGTGTTTTTCAACCAGGATGCCGGGGCACCCTGGGATGACGCGAGAGAAATTAATTAAACGTCTATTTTTTGATCGATTATGAAATAAACATAAATTGGCCGAGGTGGCCAAATATATGACTTTGGATTCATGTATTGTAATTAAATTGAATCTTCTGTATTATTTGGGATTAGGGCGACGCGAAACTTTTTATTTTTCAAAAGGGTGCCACACCTGTAAAAAAAAAAATGGTTGAAAAACGCTGCACTACAGTATGTCGAGGTCGCTGTTTCCTATCCATATGCATCTTATTCATGATATGAAATGTTGAAACACAAGCCTGATATCCAAACAAATAATGTTGAACTTTTTTAGAAACCGGATTCTTATTATCACGCTGTCAATTTCATTACCGCAACTTGTCAAGTTTACATTTAACTTGGTATTATCTATATATAATAGTATTCAGGTATTCACAAACCCTAGTACATGTATTAGCTGTTTGCACCTGGAATGTCAAGTTCTTAGTCAGTCATTCAACGACACAATATATTATTCTATACCAGTAGAGAAATGCCAGTGTAAAGTCCACTCATCAACCACTTAAAAGGGTATTTCTAGTTGCTAATTGTAATGCGGTTTAGTGCAAACTGATCGATGACAATCTTAACACTAGTTTATTTTGTGTACAGGATCAAGAAAGTTTAGAATCACACAGCGATACTTCTCGCAGCAGAGGCCTGAATCCTGTAGAAGCTGGTATGTGTTTGTTCTTGTTTTTGTTTATTTTTAGTTTGGTTGTTATGTTCGTTTGCTTTCTGACCACTCGATCAATCATTAATTCATCGTCCATAAGATATAAAGTATCGATGAAAGTTGATAACAAATAACTATTTACTTGTTAAAACTCATTTTAAAGTGTTAACGCAGAAACAAATGTAAGTAATCAATTAAAACTGCAATCAATTCTGACTTATTAATTGTGATTTAGATGGAATATTGTCATAATAATACTGATGTGATATAGATCAAGGTGAAAGTTGATAGTTAGGTGGACTCGCGTTTATCACGCCTAAAAGATCAATTAAATTTCATTTTGAATGTGATATTGCCAGGATAATGTTAAGGTAAAGGACTGGATTAGTTTGTGAAGGTATGTACGGCTGGATTCATCATGCATTTTCTGGAATATGATTGTCATTTCTGAAGTGAAACATACAGTTGGATACTTAGGTCCCATCTGCTTACTTTTGAGTCAGTATATTCTATATACCAGCTCTGTTGACTGACAATGTTCTACTGTCGTGCCTTTTTTGTGTGCAACCATCTGGAGAACTAAGTATTGTGATGCTTTAATCTGATTAACTTAACTATTGTATATAGCAGTAATCCTATTACTGGTTCTTTTATATACTGATTACACTGCACCATTTGTTACCAGAGTTACCAGAGCTTCGACTCGCCTATTCATCAAGTCTGTTCTCTTGAATCATGCCACCCAAAACAAGAACGATGGCTCCCCAGCCTGAGGAAACCCATGATATATGTGATCAGATAAGTGATGAGGTCAGAGAGTATTTCAACAGCCAAGGATTTAAAGACTTGTTTCAGACATCCCTTGTTGAAGGTGTGACAAGGGAGTTACACCATCTTCGTGATCGACTGGAACAAACAGAGAGTAAGGTAATGGATCTGGAAAATGCGCTCCAGTCACAAGCTTCCATTATAACTTCACTACAGAAAGAGCAAACTTCTAGATCTGAATTTATCAAGTCATTGAGGACCAAGTTGAATGAAGAAGAACAGTACTCAAGGAGGAACAGTCTACGATTATACGGCATCCCAGAAAAGGACAAAGAGGACACCGACGCAGTGATGATAAATCTTGCAAACAAAGATCTTGGTGTAAATCTCAATCTGGCTGATATTGACCGCTCACATCGTGTTGGTACCCCGCGCCATGATAAGAGACCAGGAGACAAGACGAAGCCTCCACGACCCATCATCGTCAAGTTCTCTACTTATCGTGCTCGCCATCTAGTGATCAGGAACAGGAAACGACTTAAAGGGAAACACATAGGAATTGACGAAGACTTGACGGCAGCAAACAGAATGTTGCTTCAAAAAGCAAAGGATGAAGTGAAACTCAACACAAATGCAATTGCCGCTTGGTCCACAGATGGCAGAGTAACTGTTCTAGTGAAAGCCACGAACGGAGGTTCGCTAAGGAAAAGAATACACTCGGTGACTGATCTTAAGAAAATATGAAAATATTGTCATGTAAAGCGTAAACAGGTAAATGCTGAGTTAATATACATTTATGCTCATATCAGTAGACTATATCACTCAATGTAGTGAAACCATATTCAGCTGATGAGAAATAATGCGAATACCATGTACTAGTCATAATATCCGCTTGTACTACCGATACATTCTATTATATTGCAGACTTTTCCGTTTTTGTTTTTGATAGGATATAGTTTAACGTACTATGTTGTGTACTTGTATTTTATGTAATAGGCAGAATTCTACAACTTGTGATAATTGCTCTCTTTGCAATCGAAGCTCAAGAGAGTATAAATCTTTAGCTACTACATTTAATGAAGAACTTCTTCCGGATAACAAAGTTTATACTCCTGATGAATTTTATGAATCTACTAAAAATTCCGATACTTGTTCTACAGTGACTTTATTTCATTTTAACTGCCGTAGTTTAAAGCGCAATTTTGATAATTTCTTACAATGTGTCCAAACATTTTCCAGACCTATGTCAATAATTGGGGTCTCTGAAACATGGCTTAAGAGTGATGATGATGATAGCTATTTTTCTATTCCCCAATATTCCTTCCTAAGTAATCCTCGACAAGGAAAAAGAGGGGGAGGCGTAGGAGTATTTATTCATGACAAAATAAGATTTAAAAGAAGACCAGATTTAGATGTGTTTACTAATGCTGTTGAGAGTATTTCCATTGAGGTATATAATAAAGTACAGAATTATATAGTTCTTGTTATGTATAGACCACCACACGAAGGAGTACAATCTTTTATAAATGATACACAAGCACTGCTGAATGTTATTATGAATGAGAAAAAGGAGAGCATCATTATGGGTGATTTTAATGTTGATCTATTGAAACTTTATGTTATTTCATATGTTAATGAATTCATTGATAACTTTATTTCACTTTCTTACTTACCACAAATAATCAAGCCAACCCGAATAACCTCACATTCTGCGACTACTTTGGATAATTTCTTCTGTAATAATCCAGAAGGTTAAGCTGAGTGGAATAATTTTAACAGATGTCAGTGATCATCTTACTCCTTTTATCATGATTTTATCTCAACCTGATACAGATGATCCTCAAATAATTTACTCAAAACGTGACTTCAGTGATGTTCACATCAATACATTTTGTTCAAAGTTACAGTCTGTGAAGTGGGAATTTTTAGATCGTCTTGATGATGTTAATCAGAAGTATGAAAGTTTTCTTGAAATATATGTGAAATTGTATAACGAATGTTTCCAAAAGGTAGAGATGAAAAGAAAGAAACATGCAAATGTTAAACCTTGGATTACAATAGAAATTAAGAAAATGAGTAAACATAAATATATTTTATACAAAAAATATCTTAAAAATCCTACGACATATCGCAGAACGACTTATGTAAATTTTAGAAATAGATTTAATAACTTGATACGTGATACAAAACGTAAATATTATGATAATAAGTTTAAGGATGTAATGAACAATGCAAAGAAAACATGGAATGTTATAAATGAAGTTTTGAACAAAAGAAAAAGTAAGCATGATGTTAATGAAATTGAATATGAAGGTAGATCTATAAAGGATAAATCTCAAATTGTAAATTTATTCAATGATTACTTTAGTACAGTTGGACAGAAAATTCATGATAAGTTGGATAGTGCAGTAACTACATCATTTAATAGCTTTTTACAGGGATCTGTTTGTGAGTCTTTATTTTTTAGCCCGATTACAGAATCTACTATAATTAATATTATATCGAGTTTTGATGTAAGTAAATGTCCTGGTTACGATGAAATTAGTGCTAAAATTGTTAAATCTTCTATTAATGCAATTGTGTCTCCTTTGTGCAATATATTTAATTCTTCTCTTGAAAAAGGCATATTTCCTAATGCATTAAAAATAGCTAAAGTTATACCAATTTATAAGAATGGCAGTAAAAATATGTTGAATAATTATAGACCAATCTCTATTTTATCAATTTTCAGTAAAATTTTAGAAAAAAATGTTTATGATAAATTAATATCTTTTATTGAAAAACACAATATTTTGCACAATAAACAATTTGGCTTTAGAAAGGGATATAGTACTACCCATGCATTGATTGAATTAACAGATAAAATTGCCAAAGCCTTTGAAAAGAAACACATAGTGATATCTCTCTTTTTAGACCTGTCAAAGGCGTTTGACTGTATTGATCATTCAATTTTACTTAAAAAACTGAAATATTATGGAATAAGGGGAAATGCAATACAGTGGTTTGAAAGTTATTTGTGCAATAGGAAGCAATATGTAAGCGTTGATAATTTTAATTCAGAATATAAAAGTATTTCAGTAGGTGTACCTCAGGGATCTAATCTCGGCCCCCTTTTATTTTTACTTTATATTAATGATCTGCAATATGTTAGCAATATTTTATCAGTAATTTTATTTGCAGATGACACAAGTTTATTTTTATCAGGTAAAGATCCAGTTGCATTAAATAATCTATTGAATTCAGAAATGAAAAGCATACAAACTTGGTTTACAGCCAATAAACTCTACATTAATCGCGATAAAACATGTTATATGATATTTAAGAGTAGGAATTGTAGAATACAAGATAATGTAATAACTATTGAACTTAATGATCTAAGTATAAAGAGAGAAACTAAATTTCTTGGAGTAATCATTGACGAAAACTTGAACTGGAAGGAACATGTTAATTACATTGCTTTAAAAATATCTAAATCCATTGGAGTCTTTAATATTTTAAAGCACATTTTACGACTGAAGATTTTAACAAATTTGTATAACTGTATGATTCTATCACATTTTATGTATTCTAATATTGTATGGGGCGGTTGCTCATTTTATTTATCACAAAAATTGTTTTTACTACAGAAACGTGCAATACGAGCAATTACCAAATCAAACTATTTAGCACATACCCAACAATTATTTAAAAAGTTTAAAATATTGAATATATTTGATATAAATAAATTACAACTAGCATCGTTTGTTTTCTTATTCTAAACAACTATTGCCCAATAACTTTCATGACTATTTCGAATATAATTGCAACATCAATAAATATAAAACAAGAAATTCCAATAAAATGTATGTACCTTTTTATATTTTTAACTTTTCAAGAACTACAGTAAGTTTTAAAGACCCACAGCTTTGGAATGAGTTGCCAAACGTATTAAAAGAAATATCCACTGTTTTTACATTCAGGAAAAAATATAAATGTTATCTTCTTAATTGTGAGTAGTTTTATTTGATCTAATTGCCTTTTATGTGATTTATGTAAATAATTATGTTGTGTTTTTTATGTGATTATGCTATGTTATATTATCTGTTTGTTTGATTGTTTTTATTTTTTATATTTTGTATAATGTATTTCTCTTGAAGGGTGGATATATAGGGGATCAACCTTGACAGGCCAATGGCCTTTGTTGATCCCTCACATCCTCCACCCTTCATCCTTCTTTCATCAGTACAATGTAAATGAATGTTTTTTGGTATATATTTATATTGTTTTAATTTATAATGATTTGTTTGTATATCTTTTGATGTGTTTTTAAAGTGATGTGAAATAAATTGAATACTTGAATACTTGATTACGATAATAATACTCACATTTGTAGGCCTATAGATGGTAGAATGATAGTGCGCATGCTCCGACCCCTGGGGAGTATTCCGGCCAGGCACCATTTTACAAACACACACATGCCGATCTAACCACATTATGTTCGCATCCTCCTTGATACCTATTTAACACATGGGAGGGGAGTGGCGATTGTAGATTGATTATGAATGGAAACATACTCAAAATATATATGTTTCTTCTTTATTGCAGAAGAATATGGGGAGGCACCCAAGGCTAAAAAGGAGGATGACAGTTTGCCAAATCAAATAGCAAGTCTGGTGGAGAGAAAGCTTAAGAAACAGGTTCACCTAAAGGTAGAATTTAGTTTTGAACCTTGTACTTTTATGTGGGATAAGACATGTATGTAAAAGATTTTCTACAATGTCTTTTTTTATCCTATAATCTTCCACTTTTTTTGTGAGACCCAGAAATAACAAAAGTGTCTACCTAGAATAATAAACAAACTATAGTAACACATAGCAGAATGTGATGAGTCTGTATCTGATGAGTGCGGTGAACAGAATTTACCAGGTCCGCTAGATGTCAGAAAAGTGAATCATGACCTTATTTGTTAGCTTTAACAGAAACATTTCTACAGAGACGTGACAGCGAGGGAGAATTGCCGTTTGGTCTACAGCAGTGTCGTGTACTACCCGATTAGCCTATTTCCATATGGTCTACACCCAGCACGTCTAACATACAAATGGTCTAATAATCATTTCGTCTATTCATTATTTGGTCTCATGACCATTAAGGCTATTAACCATTTGGTATAATTTCCATTTGGTCTAATATCCAATAGGTATTCTACCCATCTGGTATATTGTTCGTTTAGTCTAATAATCAGTTAATATAATGCCCATTTCGTCTACTATCCATAAAGTCTAATAATTATTGATGATTATGATGTTTGATTGAATGATTATTAGACCAAAAGATAAATGGTCATTAGACGAAATGATAAGTAGATTCAATTATTATTAGACCTTGTGGATAGTAGGCGGTCTGTATATAGACATTGACATATATATAAATTTAATTTAATTACACATAGCATATTGAACAACATTGATAACAGATTAAAAGGCTGAGAGGCATGCACACAACTTGTAAGAGAGAGTAAAAGAGGACTGAGAGTGAAAGAGACAGAAGGACAGTAGAGGTGAGGAGAAACGGGAGTGAGTCTGAAGAATGGGAAGAATATATGAAGAGCTCGGTTGCAAAAGGTACTACATCCATTTTGATAAAAATTGATCATTAATGTGCACAAAAAAAATAAAAATGGAATTTTAAAATAAGTTCGATTCCAAAAGGTACTATATCCATTCAATCTATGAATTGTAACTTGCATACAGTATGCGCAATTTTCGGTTCCAAAAAGTACGACATCCAATTTTGGTTCCAAAAGGTACTACATCCACAAATATTTAGAAAAAAGACATAAATTCATAACAAATATTTGGGTAGACTTAGATTTTTTTTAAAGTGGTATTATACTTCTATCATACAAAATTATAATCAGCCAAAGTATCATTCCAAAGTGACGTTGCTAACTATGAAAATTAAAACATCATGTTTTTCTCAGAACTGGATTTATGGATGTAGTACCTTTTGGAACCGAGCTCTTCATATATAGAGAAAGGGATAGAGAGCTGATGCAAAATTAATAACAGAGAAGTAGGGACGGTTGTGGAAAAGAAAGACTATCATGTAACGATAAAGGTTAATGTAGAAGTGTATTCGTTTCCTTTATTCCTCAGGAGATAGGAACAGACAGTACTGATAGCGCTAGAGAAGAAAGGGTCTCACTAAGTATATGGGACTTTGCCGGACACGACATGTACTACACAACCCATCAGGTAAAAGAGTACATTCTACCTTAGTGCCTTGAAAACAAATTCGTAATATATTGTTAGATTCTGGTATTTAGAAGAAGAAAAAGGAATAAAATTGTATTTACTACAGTCTCCCATACAATCATCAAATTGTTCATGTCATAAATATTTGATATTTCTCCTGTGATTTCTTTCTAATCAACTTCAGAGTAAATATCTATTTTTAAAAAAAAATGAGAGTATTCTCCCATTGTCTCAATATAATGCTTTAGTTCAGAGCACATGGAATCATGTATTTTATGCACAACTGCTGTTGGCCTACATATTGGTTTTACCATCAGTGTTATACATGTGCATGAAAGGAGAAACCCTGACATTAAGTTTGTTTTGATAGAAGCAGAAAATGAGAGAAACGGGTCAGTAAAACACCAATTGCAAACACTACAACAAATCTCGCGAGCTCCCCTCCCACTTGCCTTGTACTAAAAAAACTTAGATTGAGATTTTCCATGAAGACAATTTCGAATCATACATCCACCCTAAATATAATTGCACAAATGTTTGTATACAACCCCTCTATGAATCGAATATATTGTGTCACCAATAACTAAAAAATGAAGGTTTATGACATTTCCTAAAACTTTCACTATATTTTCTCTCTAATTTTTCTGTTTTTATTTGGTTTTATTAAAACCCAGCTGATATCAGGTTGGACTTCCATTTGAATGTGTGTTCCAGTCATAGGTGCACAATCTTGTCCAGGGTCAAACTGATTTCTTCTTTCGTTTATATGATATTCCAATGTAGGATAAAAGACTTGACATTAGTTAATAATCGCTGATTTCTTGCTATCTAATTAAGTGCAGAAAAGTGCTATAAACAGCAACACCTCTAGAACTATAACTGTTAGTTTTCTTGTTTAACATAATCTAGTTCGCCTGTCATCCTAATGAAGTTATTCAGAATTGATAATATGTATGCCAGTGGTTTGTTAATCTGTATTTTATTGTAGCATAGATACTCACAAATTAATAATGGCTATTAATATGGAGCCAGAGGATCTGCATCAGTCAGTTAAATCCAGAGACTTGGTAATTTTGAAAAGTAATGCTTTGTCTTGGGTTGGATAGAGATATTGCAATTTAGAGACATTTTGCCCTCAATGCTAAATTGTACTCTTTATATTAATATATTGTTATTGTTTTGTTTAGTTTATTTGTATTAACTGACTGCTAAGGAAATCAGATGCATGCTTGGAAGTAAGCAACCAGGGGACTTAAAGCCGCCACGGTGGCTATAAATCATTTCCGTGGGAAATTTTTAGTGAGAATTAATACCTTACCAAAGGGCACTAGTGCATCAACTTGGTTTCAAACCTGGGACCTCTCGATTACGAGTCCATTGCCCTACCACTGAGCTATCACGCCTCCGTTTATCCCCTTCGCCTATGTCTCCGTATATAAACAGTACACGAGGTACCTATAATAATTATAGAAATAATGGAGCATATAGAAAGAACATAGCATGGTAGTTATTAAACCCGTATGCATCATTTTTAATTTCCTTCTCCTTTAGGTGTTTCTGACATGGCGAGCCATCTATGTGATAGTCTTTGATCTCAGTAGAAGTTTGGATTCGGTCGTTCCTCCTGAATCCAGAGACAAGTATTATGAAATGGTATTTTTTTAATTTTATTTTATACTGATTATTTAAAAAAAGTATAAATACCATGATAGCTCTTATTGATTTCAACTCTTTGTTATTGTAACGTGTTTATTAACCGAGGGAACTTATAAACCAAAATCAATCATCGAACATGCTGCATCAAAAACAATCTAAACTCTCAACAAAACTCAAGTAAACCAGGACAGTAGAAAACACAACCTCATACGAAGAAGGACGGAACAGAACTAACTTTAATATTCAATATTATAACATGGCTCTGAGTACAAATCAGGCATCATAACAAAATAAACCAATCAGGGGAAAGTCATGTGATAAGAGAAACCAGTGAGGTGAACAGGCTAGATAGATCAAAGGTGAGAGGCAAAGAGAACGAATGAGAGAAGAGAAAGTGCATGTTGCTAGGGCAGGAAAAGGCAACCATGCATAGAGAATGAGAAGACAACAAAGGGAATGGGTTTGAAGGAGAGAGAGGAAAATAAGGTGTGGCAGTAGTGCAACTGAAAGACTGTGCTGTAAGAATGTGAATGAAATGGGAACATGAGCAGGGAAAATGAATATGCAAATGAAGAATGCAAATATATAAATGAATATGTAATAATGGATAAGGAAGAGATGAGAAATTTACTAACTGAAATATAAAGACAAATTCAAACTGTTACATTATTATAAAGTCAACTACCTGTTTCCTTTGGGATTAATTGATGTGTAAATTGTTGGTACAATTAAAACAGTCATATATTAGACTTGTTTTCCCTTTGAGAGTATGGTGTGAGATTAAATAGTTGAATTTCCATCTCTGTGAAAGTCCATCTCAGTTCGAAAAAAAAATACACGTTGGCTTACTCAGTCTTCCTTCCAATCACTTCCACACTTGGGTATGTCATTTAAGCGATCAATTTATGAGAATATGATTAACAATCATAATAGCTGGTAATGTTTTATTAATTTAAAATCAAGGAGTACTGCTATTTCTCTTAATGATTAATTAACCACCTCCTCCTGAAATCTTATCATACACCTCAGATTTCACCCCTCATCTTTTAATGATTTATATTTCTGTTAGTATAGTATGAAGTATTTTTCCTCAATATCATATATTATATTATGAAAGTTTATAAAGAATTGCCACCCTTCAAGCTTAGTTTGTGGTGCAATCCTTCTTCAGGATTATTTTATGGTAATATTACAAAGTAAAACATAAATGTGATAATGTTTTCATTATATGATTTAATCATCATGCTGTAATCGGTTAGTTATTTTGGGATTTAATGAAGATAACACAAATGAAAATTATGTTGGATATGAGGAATGGGACATGTATGCGTTATCCAGTTAGAATATGTTTCTATGCGTTTTTATCATTGGCCTTGTCATAAATATAATTGTTTACATTTTTAAAACACAGGCTAAAGGAGGTGCGAAATCAGAACTGACATGTCTAGAGTTCATCAATTTCTGGTTGTGTTCCATCTTCGCCCATGCTGTGGCGCCCTCTTCGGTCAGGAATAAGGATACGTCTAAAACCGCTCAGAAATCACCACCAATATTCATCGTTGGAACCCATCGAGAAAGTGTGCAAGGATACGCAAAAGAGAAAAGGGAAAAAGTAATGGTGTATGATATATTTTGATAATGAACTAATAAATTTGAATACCACAGGAAGCTCCTTTCAGCATCAGCTGTTCTTCCTGACGTTCTGCAATTCTTGCTATAGCGATGTTATTGACAGCTGGGCTAGCTGTCAATAACATCGCTATACTACTGACTACTAACTACCGGCTGCCACGCCTAAAAACGAGCAAAAAATACCATACCCCGAGATAGACTGAAAACTTCAGTCTGTGATATCGACAGTTGTTCCGATGAGACAACATCTGGTCAGACCGACATGAATATGAGATGCTACGACTTTTTTTCTTCTTCACTCTTTACGTCTTCATATATTTCCTATGGCTCCTAAATTAACTTTCAGTTCAAGACTTTTTATCAACAGGATTCGTTGTCAGGTTGACCAATGGCAGTATTATCAAACAATTCCCCATACCAGACGGTTCTTTCTGTCTAACCATGTGGCCATTACATTGGTCATGCGGATTCAGTAAGGAGTCAGTATGGCAGTAAACTTGGGCTATGGCATTAGAACAGCTTTACTAGATATAAACTAACTTTGCAAAATTTTCAAAAGTTCACCTTGATATAATTTTGGTGTTATTAAAGAGATGGAGTAGTGAAAATTTGAGCAATATTTGATTAAAAGGAAATAAAGTAAAACGAATATTTATTTGATATGTACAATTTTGTTTAGTCATACGTGCACCCTAGATGTAATCATTACAAATACATTGTTACACAGCCTCATTGCTTTCATTCATGAAATTGGCACTACCAAGTAAATGGGAGAGGACCTCAAAAGATAATAAGTCACATCGGCATGTATACCCGTCTTAATAAAACGATGTAGTGCCTTTAAAAATATTGGCATAGGATTCAGGCTCCATGTTGACTTCTGTAAGAGTAATACTTTATAAATATTTATATTTACATTTTTTGTTGTTGCATAGATTATCATGTTTAATATTACGACTGAGACGTGTATTTTATGTTCAGTTCACCTCATTTGTCTTCTAGATTGGCTCTGCCTTTGGGAAGATCCGTGAATCCATCATGAGGAGACCGTTTGAATGCCATGTGGTCCCCAAGTATTATGCCATTGAAAACAGCTTAGAGGACAAAGACGAAGAGGTACATCATAAATAATCATCAACTCTCAAAATTTATAGTAACCCTGTAGCAAAATAATATTCCTGATTATCTATCCAATCCAGTTACATCCAATACAAAAAGAAAAGTGGCTTTTCCTTGTAGTTACAAAGTGCTGCACAATTTGATCCAAATTTTTGGACCGCTTCAAAAATATTATATCACTTCAAAAATTTAAGCTAATGCAGTCCATTGTTCTGTAACAAAATACAATCTACACTTTGTTTCTTAGCTTGAATGAAATGTGATTGATTTTTAGACTCATTTTTATTTGTTTGTCTAAAATATTGTCCCGATTTGTTAAACTATTGCATAAATTAAGATGCTCTTTCAAACACAAAGAGCTGGCATACCCATCTGCTAATATCTGACTTGTAACACATATTATAAAATCTGCTCACTCTAAGACGTGATGTTTATTCCGTTTGACATGAAATCCCAATGTTTTGTGGTAATAATCCTAAAATATTTCCTCGCCCAAAGAATCATATGATTCTATGTTAATTCCCGAAATACTTTCAATTTCATGCTAATTCCCAAGAAGTTATTCAGAACAATAATATTTCATTCATTTTAATCTACTGCTAATGAACAAATTATACAATTTAGGTAGTACATGTACTTACACTGACATTGATTTTCATCCACTGTGCTTGACGAAAATCAATTATAGGTATTTAATAATAAAATCAACTGGCATTGATTTAGATTGTAGTTATTCTTCTTAGAAAACTTGACACAAGCTTCATGCTTTAATTACATTTAGTAATAATACAACTAAACAAATGCATTTGTTTATATTCTTTGTGGAATTCTTTGTGGAAGATAAATATCACTTCTTGTATTACCCATTGTCAATTCTTCTCCACATTTATGTGCTACATCTGTGCAATTATTCCCTCTCTTACTATAAAGTGATATTTGTGTGCAGTAAGTTTAATATTCCTAAACATGCTCAATTAACTTTATCGTCTAATGTTTAATGACATTGCCTTAATCGTTTTGATAACTATTTATCCACATCTTCGATACATTTTTCTATTTTTTTGTTTAATACTGTTGTGTGATGTTACCATTGTTATTTTGTGATATTGCTTTGGTATTTTGATGTTTTTAGTATGATGTAAGTATCTGTTTACTTTTTAAAATAGACAATATTTGCTTTGAGCTACATGTCACGTTTTGTTTAACCAACCAATACTTACTTTCCTTTGAAGCTGGTCGAATTGAGGGAACATATTGAGAAAGTAGCGATGGAAGAGCCTTACATGGGAGAAGAGATTCCACTGAGATGGCTCTTATTTGAGGATACTTTAGCTGCAGATAAAGCCAATTACATTTCATTAGATCAGGTAGGACTGCAACGTTCATTCTTGCCATTTTCAAGTAATTTAAATTAATATGTACTGTAGTGGAATAAAAATAGTGAGCAATTGTTTATATTTGAAATCCTTTTTTTTCTTCCCATTTTTATGTAATGAATGTTTTAGCAAACATTTATATGTATGTATTTTAATTTAAAGCAAATTTAAGTTTAGTCCTTATTTCATTTCTTCACAGCTACGTACAACTCTCCTGGTATTGTTGGGAATATATGATGCTATATTATTTAAATGCATCGATGATACCTTTTAATTTTGTAAACGGCCCAAATTATACCCGTCTTAATAAAACGATGTAGTGCCTTTGAAAATATTGGCATAGGATTTCGGGCTCCATGTTGCCTTCTGTAAGAGTAATACTTTATAAATATTTATATTATGTATATGCTTTGTGTAAATTAAATGTAATGTTACTGTTATAAAAAAAAAAAAATTGATAGATACTACCCTAACCCTAACCCTTACCCTATTTTTGAAGCCATTTTTATAAATTCTCCCAGACCAAGGAACTGACGCTGCCATTCGGGATGGAATCAGAGGGTGAACTTCTCACGATGCTGACCTTCTACCACGACCTGGGTTACATAGTCTACTACGGAGGCATTGAAGACCAGCAGTCTCTCCTACGAGACATAGTGATCCTGAATCCTCAGTGGCTAATTGATGTCTTCAAGCAGATCATAACCATCCTGGATCCTGCAGAGATGGTTAGAGACCTCCTTCTCCTTTACAATCTCATTTATGTATGCTGCGGTAAGCTGCAGCAGTTTTGTTTAATATACACAATGAATGGGAAGTGGGAATTACAAACTAACCTTGAACCTTGAAGAATTACTCTCCCAAAGCGTGAACGCTGTCCTGGAGAGGGCTATGCTGTGTTGTGTGCTGTTGGTGATGTGCTGTTGGTGAAGTGATGGTGGTTGTTCTCCGTGCACTATATACAATGTGCAGGGTGCAGTGTGCAGGTGGTGCAGGTGTGTCCCTTGTTACAACATCTTCAGGGGCAGGGGCGGCGCCATAGTCTGTATGGTGGGTAGTGCCGCTCCCCAAAAGCCAAGAATTGTATTTCCAGTGACAGCGTTGCTTGGGAAAGTGTTCCAGACACGGACTGCTCTGGGGAAACATGATGTACATGTAGCAGTTAACTCGGCAAAATGGTTGGGTGAATCTGAAGTTGTGGCTTTGATGTTGTGCTTTTTGCGGTCTGGTGATGCCTGTGATGAGTCGGATGTCAGGAGGCAAGGAGATCTGGACAAGTTTGTGGTGTACTTTGAAGAGCATCTCGCATTGATTGAGCAAGCGGCGGTGTTGTAGCGTGTCCCAGCCAAGAGATGACAGCATGGTGCTGACACTAGATTCTCTTCTATAGTTTTGTCTCTGTATGCTTTCTATGAGTTTGATCTCCTTCTGGGTGTGTGGATTCCATGCACTTGAGGCATATTCCAACTGGGGTCGTACAAGCTGCTTGTATGCAATGTCCTTGACTTTCTGCTCACATTTCCCAAGGGCTCGACGTACAACTCCCAAGAGTTATTGCAGCTTTCGCTTGGATCTTCTGTGCATGGGTGTTCCAGCTCAGATTGTTTGCCACTGTGACTCCGAGGTATTATAGGAAGTAGCTTTGGGAACTGCTTTCCCATTGATGTTGAAGTTAAAGGTCAAGGGATGCCGCTTCAAAAAGATGCACATGTGGGCACATTTCTTCACATTGAATGACATATCCCAAAGGTCTGCCCATTCTGCCAGTGTGGAAAGATCCTGCTGTAAGGCTATGTGGTCATCTCTTGTGTGGATACTGCGGTACAAGACACAATCATCAGCAAAGAGTCTTATTGATGATGATACGTCTTCACATATGTCATTGATGTACACAAGAAACAAGGCCAGACCAAGGACCGATCCCTAAGGGACCCCAGAGATGACATCCGTTGATGGCGATGAGGCTCTATTTACTGACACAGTTTCAGATCGGCCAGTCATGAAGCCATGAATCCAATTGATAGTTGATCCATGGATTCCGTAGAACTTCAGCTTGTGAACTAGCTTTCGATGTGACACCTTGTCAAATGCCTTGCTGAAATCAAGGAAGATCGTGTCAGTTTGGTGCTGCTGGTTGATGTTGCTAGCCCAATCATTAACGGCTTCCACAAGCTGGGTTTCACAGGAACGCCCTTGTCGAAATCCGTGTTGATTGGGAGTGATGATGTCACTTTTTTGCCAGAAAGTTGGACATGTGGCTCAGAATGATGTGCTCAAGGATCGTGCAGTAGATGCATGTGAGGGACACAGGTCTGTAGTTAAATGGGTCACTTTTGTCTCCTGATTTGTAGATGCTTGCCACTTTGGCTCTCAGCCAATCCTATGGTAGGACTCCATTATCGTACGACTGTTGGTAGAGGTGCGTACTACAGAGGTCCTATGCAGTCTGTCCTACGAGACATCGTAGGAGATGTGGCTAATTGATGTCTTCAAGCAGGTCATTATCATCTTGGGTTCTGCAGAAAAAGGAAGTAACCTTCTCTATTCAAACGAATATTGTGGATTTACATAGAGCTTAATACATCAACAATGTCTCTACTAGCTTTACATATGTATCATTTCCCCCGTCATCGGATTCAGACAGAATGTATCTATGTGTTAACAAATAGAAAATTAGAAGTACAGTACACTTACAAGGTAAACTGCAGCACTATGACCTATGTAACCAAAAAATGTTGTAAAGAAGTCTCTTGAGAGACAGAGTTTTAGAGTATCGATACAATTGTTAAAGGGATAGTTGAGTTCTGTTTTCAGACTGCAAATGCCTTCAAAGTGTATGGTTATTGCTCTTATTCTTATCTATGACATTTCTAGTGCCCGTTTAGAACCTAAAATTGCTATGAACGGGTAATTTTAGATCCCAAAATGTGTGAATTTAGCCAATATGATCATACCAATTCAGCTCCACTTTAAAAAAAAAACATGGTGACCGTTAATTAACTATTTAATTAAAAATAAGAATACATGGGCCGGCTGGTTATACTTAATATAAGCAACACGAAAATGCCAACAACAAAGCTAATATCGGCATTGGCTGAAATACGACATAAAAGCACGAAATTGTTATATTTATGGATATTTCAGCCGTTTCTGAACCTATTTTGATCAAACAAAGATGATTTTGTCATTTAAATATTATGTTCTTTCAAATTTGACACTTATTTTTTCATTATCTCACAAAAAAATTGTGTGTAGCGCCCTCTGCAACAGAACTCAACTATCCCCTTAAGACATATTTTTTTAATGATATTTAGGTAACAAAGCTCTCACTTTACCATGTAGTAATGGTTTACAATCTATACTCCTATGTCCAGTTGTTCCAACTGCCATTAAAATTACATTGTGTTTTAATTCCAGGAAGGGATCGTAAGTGATGCGTGGACCACTCTTGAGAAGGATGGTATCTTAGAGGATAGGTTGATTCAGCATATGTGGCAAGGCTTCTTGGAGCAGAAGGAGGCCTTAGTCAAGCTCATGGCCAAGTTTGATCTCATCTGTGAGGCTCCGGCAGAACGACACCAGCAAGAGCAACAGGATGGAGTAGACACTGAGGTAACTCTCCAGCTAAATGGTGCTCCGACCCGTGCTCCTGCAGCAATGCCCCATATTCTGTCAAAAGTATAGGGTTAGGGTTATGGTTGTAATTGGGTTTTCGGTTTAGGATTAAGGCTAAGGTTTATTGTCTGGTCCAGTGCTGAAGTTAGGCATTCGGTTAGGGTAGGAAATTACCATGAAACAATTATCGCAGGAACTAAACATCATGTTTGAAGTAAGCCTCAAATATTTTCACTATAAATATACGGACAATAAAGGAGCAAAACAAGGGCCTTTTCCCAGCTTTTGTATAGGTATGCTGCAAAAAATTGACACAGGGTTGAAAATGGGTTCATAATGTCCAAATGTTAAATGTGCTTAATTTGGATACCATAATTTGTTTATATCTTTTCATACAAGTTCCTTTCAAAATGCTGTTTTGTGCTGTGAAATGTAGGGACTAAGTAAAGTTTTTAAAGCTTTTACAAATGATACCAAAATGTCTATTTCTAAAATTTGGAAGCGAAATTGCTCAATAGGTCGACGTTGTTGTGAAACTTACCATAATTTAGTGGGAGGAGTAGGATGTGTGAAATGACATGATGAGTGAAACATGAATTACTTTTTGTTTCCCATAGATTTCACAAAATATTTTTTTCTGTATCAATGTATATTTTGTTTTGTATTTATGGTTTAAGTTATTGGATATGTTTTGATATTTTAGGTATCAAATGAAGCACAGAAGGTGGTAAGGAAGCGCTATTACGTTCCTTCCAGGCTGACGTCCCGTTGCTCCCCAGAAGAGATTGCGCAGATCACGTCATCTACATACTTTTATGTGGACTTCAGGGGCTTCTTACCAGGTGAGGATGAGTTCATCATCTGTTTACATCCAGGGAGGTGTTAACACGTGTAATGTATCATACCGTTAATGACCTCCTTGCTCAAAAGAGACTAAATGGCAATCTAATTGCAACACGGTTAGTATGTAGTCAAACATGTCTAGGTGGTTACCTCTCTTTAGATGACACCTGTCTAGATGGCCATGCATTTTGTCTCCCTTGAGAAAATGGTGTGTGTCTAGAAAGACCACCTGTTTACAGTGACCACTAGTTGCTCTATTTTCCTTGAGTGGCCTCAACAGACAAGTTTGACTGACCTTTATAGGTTCTTGCCAAGGATGACCCATGTATCCAAAGCAAACAAAAAGTTTGTTGTTGTATCATATTGGTCTACAATATTGTTTTTTTTTATTTGCTCTAATGGTAATGATAATATCAATATTGGATAATATCAGAATGAACAAATCCACCATGCAAGGTGCTCTAATATTACACCAGCTCTTCTGAGGTACTGGTTGTAGGTTGCTCCCAGCAAATCAAGAAATTCGTTCCTGAAGGTACCCATTTAACACCTGTGTGGAGAGTGGCAAATGCAGATTAATGTCTTGTCAACGGACGTGTCAGGGCGGTCAAACGTACAAACCTCTAAACATAGTGCTATATTGATAGTCGGAGTTGGTCCGACTTGTTAGAAACTAATGTTTTGTTTCTCAGAAAAACAGAATTATCTTGAAGTATTATTGCAGCTGTTGTATCTTTTTGAGCTGGCTTTAAAAACCCGTAACTACCCATAATCTGTTGGTCATCCCTGTTGTTTGCCATTTTCACAGATGGGCTGTTTCATCGGTTGATGGCGAGAGCAGTCAGATGGATGGATGAAAGAGATGGACAACCAGTGAATCTTTTCTATCGTCACATCAGTCTAATGGTCGATGAAGAGCATCATGCCTTAATAGAGATGTTACCCCCTCATGAAGCAACTATCAAGGTCTGAGTCAAGTGTCAGCGACCATTTTTATTTTTTTATCATGGGGGAGATATTGAATTGTAGGTAAAATTTTGGAGGCCGAGCTTCGGATCCCTTCATAGGCAATGAATAGCCTCCGCCAGGCAATGTTATAGTCATTCTCCTGAAGACGATCAGATCGTACTGTCGATACGTAGAGAACCAAGAGCTCTCTAGAGCTCTTATTTCTTTGAAAGAATTGCATTGTGTAACCCTGAAAACTTAACCTATAAATCAGTATCAGGATCTGGTTCTGAGTACTCCAAGCGGAACCTTATAATATCGCGACTTCGGTATTTTTTAATTGGTTTAAGTATATATACATCCATAGCTGATAAGTGTATTTAAAGGAGCTACACAAAGAAAATTCACTAACAACTGATAATTAGAACAAATGACATATGGATGGAAAGATTTTCTCTTGAAAAACATGAATAATTTTCTGATAAATCATATAGATACCATGGAAAGGCGTAAAATGCAATTTTTCAAGACCCTTCTTAGACCCCCAAGCGCCCCCGAACGTAAGCCAAACACACAAGCGTAGCAAGCTCTGAATAGTGACGTCATACACTGGACAAACAGCTCAGTACCGGCCGTCTACCGGAGTCGCGCGTGTATTAGTCTGCAGCTAGCCAGCCGTGTCCCGTGTGTGACGTCACAAATATTGACGCTCTACAAAGGACCGCTGAAGGCAGAAAATCTGGATCTCGAAACTAACATTTTTGAGAGTTGATTACTGCGGGCCCCAAACATATTTTGAAGAGGAGAGTTGTTGTATTTGATCAGTAAGGCTTCCTCTTCGCAATGATATGAGTTTTGCATCAATACAAAACACTTTTGATTCTTCGTGTGTCTACTTTAAGTTGTGATTACAAGCCCAATAATTGTTTCTATTTTCAATCTATATTGTCCCCTCTCTTGCTTGCCTCGTGTTTGGAAGAGATACGTAGATGACACCTTCATCATACTTCCCATCTCTGAAACAGATAAGCTGCTTAAACACATGAATAGCCTTGAACCAACCATCCAGTTCACATCAGAGATAGAGTGTGAAGGGAAGATAGCATTCTTAGACACTCTAGTTCATAGACACGACAACCATAGGCTCTCCACCTCAGTCTATAGGAAGCCTACCCACACAGACCAGTACATAGCGTTTGACTCTCACCATCCCATATCGGTGAAGAGAGGTCTAGTGAAATGTCTATTTGACAGAGCTTCACGCATTGTGACAAGTCCACAACAGCCATGCAAAGAACGGACCCGTGTTCGCAGTGCCCTGAGTCTCAACGTTTACCCACGCCGTTTTATACACAATACCAAGAATAGATCGTCGGAACCCAGGGATCAGAAGGTATACAAGACTTTTCAGTCTTGCCGTACATTGATGGGGTCTCCCAACAACTCAAGCGCCGCCTAGAGAGCCATGGCATTCGAACGGTTTTCAGATCAGATACCACCCTACGTCAACAACTTACACGCCCCAAGGATCCAATTCCTCCACATAGACGGGACGGCATTGTGTACAACATCCCTTGTAAAGGATGTGATAGATCCTACATCGGCGAAACTGCCCGTCCGATAAAAGAAATGAAAGAATCAATGAGCATAAGAGGGACGTCAGACTCCGTCGAACTGACAACTCAGCCGTAGCCGAACATGCTTGGGATAAGCAGCATCCACCAGACTGGGACGGGGTTCAGTGCCTTTCCCAGGAACGGCATTGGTATACACGGAGGGTAAAAGAAGCTATCAATATCCGTCTCAATCCTAATAATTTCAACAGAGACAACGGGATCGATATCCCCGAATTTTGGATGCGGACGATACGCCGCCATGACACTCGCCGTCCTGCCAGCCAACAACGGTCGATTCCATTCAGCAGACGGCCCGAGCCAGCGGCCCGTTGATTGATCGAGTACCGTATGCGTCGGCCAATAGGCCTGGTGCATCAACCGAACCAGCGGCCGAACCAGCGGCCTGGGTGATTGGTCGATCACCGTGTGCATCGACCAATGGGCATTGGGCGTTATTGTTCCAATTATCGATCGAATTATAGACCGCTCCGCCGGTCCTCCCGTAAAGTATAAAAGACCCTTGCTTACAATAGTTTTTTATCACCTGACGAAGTATCGCAGTAGCATACGAAACGTCGTGATCTTTTAGATTCCTTATTGACCACATTGCGAGACAAACGAATATCACTAGCGATATTATTTTCGATATATTGTTGTTCTTGTTTTGTTTTGTAATTTATTGTAATATATTGTTATCTATAATTGTTTTGTTTTACATTGTATACATTGTATTTTAATTGTATAATGCAATTAGTGCTCTCTTGCAAATCACTTTATGTGCGCTAAGGAGCATAATCTTTAACCAAAACGCACATAGAATAAAATAAATTTATTTAAAAAAAGGAGTAAATGACCCTCACAAAATTGAAGGAAACTGTATACAATTACACACCATCATATTATTAATTTCTTTATATTTTCCCCTTTACCTTTGATACTGAACATGTCAGGTCACTGTATACCGAGGAGAGGTTGCTGATTCTGATCATGATGGGGATAGTCATAAACAACCAGCCCCAAGTGCTGTCAAAGAGGTAGGTAGCTCAACAGGATAGTTTCAATTACTACACAATAAAAATGAACAGAGATGGAGGCGCATACTAGTTCACAAAATCTTTTTTTTTTTTAAAGTGGAAAACTGGTAGCTTGCTTTAGTCTGCCAATACACTTCCAAGAAAGGTCTCTGAACCATAGAATTGAAACTGTCACAGGTAAACAGTTTTCGGATGTGTCATAGAACTTTCGTTTTGAAAAGAAAGTACATTTAAATCTGCATACGTTGAATCGGTTGGGACCACAACAAAATTAGTTTGACTTAAGCCCCATCACACCAAACTAGTTCTCACTAAGTTCTAGAACTGTTCTAGAAAATCGTAAATGGGGTTGTGGCCGGGGTAATGTCTATAATACGATCCTAGTTCGTTTGTAAACAGTCCTCAATCTAGCGAGGGCTATAAAACCCCAGCGCGATCTTGCCGTTCCTCAATCCCTTCCAATGTTTCGACTGTGCCAACGGGGTGAACAAGTAAACGGACCCGGTCGAGCTACAAACTGACCAGGTCGTACTGCTAATTGATGTTTAACGTTGTAACACATCCCTAGTAGGATCGAAGCCCGGGATCGAAGTGCGGCAATTCCGTTCGTATCACGTCCATCTCGTTTTAAGTACGTTTTCATCCGTCTAATTGCAGGAAAGGGACAATTTTGAACAGGCTCAAATTTCTAGAGCACACACTTCCCATTCATGAAGTTCTAAAAACATATCAGTTGATACTACGTTCACTCCCGCCGTTCGTACACAGTCTGAGCCTGTTTGGCAACATTTTCCAGAACGTAGTGAGAACTTGTTTGGTGTGATGGGGGCTTTAGGCAAAATTCGACTTAAGAAGTGTAAAAAAAACATCATTTGCAAAAGTTTATCAAAAATATGGATTTAAGTAACAAAAAAAGACGACTTGTACTTGAGTACAATAACTTTCCCATGTTTTGAAGTGTGTGGAATCTGTGAGTCCTGTTAGATAGGAGGACAGTAAAGTTAGACCAAAGGGAACTTGACTTAGAAATGAACTACAGTTGAAGGCAGGATTAACTCCAATTTTGTTTTGAAAATCTGGCTAATTTAAGCCATATTCTACATCTAGTTTATGTAGTAACACAGTTCAGCTATCGAACTGTGAAGCTGTGTGCTTCATCAAAATGGTAGACTTTCTCAAACAGTTCTGCGTCAGCAATATAAGTTTATGGACAATTGTAAAATAACTTCAAAGATAATTTGTTTTCCCGAAATCCATATGTACATACAAGTTTTAAAAACATACGTATAAAACATATTTCAAAAGAAAGGAAATTAATAAATGTGTAAAGGATAGACAAACGGTTGGAAAGCCCATTTCAGAACCATTTTCAAAATGGTTCTGTTATTCCATGGTGTCCAAAAGCAAGAAAATTATATTGATTTACTATCAATTTTCAATCATAGTAATTTACCGATACACTATCCCCCTAACCCCTCCCGATACCCCCTGCCAAGTCCTCCAGGGTATATTGCAAAGAAAAATCATCAATTTTATTGACAATTATAATATTAAAAGCTCAGGAATAATTTTGGTCGAGATAAATTGGAAACAAATCTTGAAATAAATGTACTGTTTATGGATCAAGAAGATGAGAGGACCAATTTTGTTTTCTCCACCCAAATCAGCAATGCCCGTTCATGTGTACCAGAATTTATTGGGTTAAGACTTAAGAGAATATAAGCCAATGTGACGTGTGATCAATGCACTATCCTAATGACAGTGTCATTGTATATCCGTCTACTATCACTATGAGATGTGAATTTAAATCAAAGTTAAGTAAGCTTGAAGTAGCCAAAAAGAAATTACTATAAAATATCTGTCTTTGGGCTGATTGTGTATTTATGACAGGTGATGGACTTTGTAACGGAAACCCTTGATAGTCTTAGGCAGCACTGGGCTAGGAGGATCGAGTATGATGTCCGCTTCATGTGCCCGAGACTGAAGTGCAGTGAGAAGAAACTGCTTAAAAACTGCTTCAAGGAAAAGTCACTCAAGTGTGGACTACATAGCATCCCTACGGCTGCAACCAAGTTCAAGTTTGGTAGGTCTATAAGGCTTGGTACCCCACCAACTGTTATTGGGGTAACACCCGAATGGTGGCAAATTCCCGATGAGAGCCAACTACTATGCATATGTAATATAGATACAAGTCCCTCATGTGTAGACTATCTGTCACACCTGTACACACTGACATGAGGCCTGCGTGGAACCCAAGTCAAACTTTAGTTTTGAATGTGGGGGTTATGTTATACTTGATTTTATTTATATTCCTCAACTATTAATGCATAGAAAGCCAGGTAAAATTGTGTTAATTCAATTTAATATCTTCTAGCTGTGCATACTATTTTGTTTTTAAATCTGATTTATAGTGAACTTTGGGGTTACTGTTTGCTATTATTGTACTTCTGTGTTTAATGTATTCTTGGTACTACCGGTATTTAAATTATATTAATAATTCTAAAACATGCCATGATGATATGTTGCACATTTCACTTTGCTCAAACAAATACTGAAAAAGTTCACAAATATCTTACCATTCTATATAAATAGTATAGAATATTATATCTTATTCTATTTTGTGTCAGGGATGGGGTTAGGTTCACACTTATTTTACATGAAATGTTTACGGCCAAACAATCATTGTTTTGATATTTCCAAACCATCTCTAGCTTGGTGTAAAGAAACTCCGAAACCCGAAAATGTAGATTGATATATTTCCAATGAATATCAGATTTATCCACTAGATCTCAATTGTTTTCAATTTGAATTGATATCTTCATGTATTTTGATGCAGGTATGAGTGAGGAAGGGGTGGAAAGTCCAATAAGTAAGTATGCAATCACTTTATCTTCTCATTCTCATAATTTTTGTCTAGAATCATGTTGTAAGGAAAAGGACTTAATTTTCTTAGTTTGAATCTATTCAATAAGCTCACAACTATCTTACCATTCCATGTTAGTATAGAATATAATGTCTTGTTTTAATCTGAGAGGGCTTACTGTTATTTTATTTGGTGTCAGGAGGGGATTAAATACACACTGTCAATGAATGTATAATCCTATGCAGACAGAACGATGTTGTGTTGTTATTTCAGATGCACCATACTTGTGTTCAATTGCTCCAAGTGTTTAGCAGTGAGTTGAGTTGCAGAATAAAAACGGAAGGCAAGGAATGAATCCTGTCGGTTGTCACTCGTTTGTGTGAACCAGAGCCCTGTTTCATAAAACTCGTTATCAGTAACAAATGGAAAATATTTAACGACTTATCTCCCAGTCAATCAAATGCCATAATTCCAGTCGCTCTTAACAGTTATTGTTACCAGAAATTGATGATAATTTTGATGAAACAGGAACCACATTAATACAAATTGTATCATGAAGGGATGGATCCATAATTTTCTTTTAAAAAGGAGCAGTCTACTCCAAAACAGTTCTGACACGCAAAAAAGAATGGATCATCTGATTTGTTTAGGGGCAATTGTTGTTGATGCTGTTTTAGTTTACAAGGCAAAATATTTACGGTTATGGTGCCGTTTCTCTATTAAAAATTCCCTGACAAAGACAAGCAAAAAAAAACTGTTATCATCTCATAAGTGTGATGATACACATATATCTCATAAGTCTAAAGGCTAATGGCTCAACCTTGTGGTGATATGTCAGGCAATCACAATAACACATGTACATCTCTGTATAGATGATACAGTGGGAGTCTCATGTACTGATAAGTATGTTTCAACTAATACATTTTCTCTTGAGCTTCTAACTAGATGTCAAGCATACATATTACAAAAAAGGGGTTTGCAGCATAAGGTATCCCTCTTTGGGTACAAAACGGGGGGGGGGGGGGGTTGGGTTGAGACAGGCCAGATGCACCCCCCCTCCCCCAATCTGACGGTGGTAGTACATGTATCTCGTATTCATTGTGTATTTTTTTTTTTTTATTCTAACGTTGAACTATATAGTCCTGTATATACATGCGATTATAGCTGCAGCTATTTCTCGGTAATTATGTCAGGCTAATATTGCATATAATATAACACATATTATGTTGCCATATCTGCGCCCTTAACAAATAGGAAAAGAACAACCTTATATCTGATACAACATTTGGAATAGCTACAGTAACTTATTTTCATCAGTTAAGAAGGTATGCCAATACATGAAGATTCTAAATGCAATCCTTATTGAAAACAACAACCAAAATCAAGATTAAAGGATAAAGTATAACGTGATGAAATATTATCTAATAACATAATGTCAATTGCAGTTCAGTTTATAGACTGCTTGAACTTATTGATGGAGTGTGCATCTCGGAGCTGGAGAGGAAGTGCATTCCATAGTGAGGGTACCAGGGTGATATAATTACCTCTTGTTGTATGATAACATCATCATCTCTCAAATTGTATCCGTTTAAATTAATTATTGTTATTATAAACTCCATGGGTCACCATTGATTGATTATCCTGATCTTGAGGACAGCAGCATATACTGTGCGACCATTATTTTAGTGATCGTGCAGAGCAGATAGGATCTAAGTAGATTATTATTAACTTTACAGTTCTCCATAATTTGTTATCCTTATCTTACAGCTTGCAAGGAAAGCATCGTACTGTGCGCCCTTTACTTCAGTTATCTTGCAGAGCAGATAGGATCAGAATGGCGTCTGCTCGGAATCAGACTAGAATTAAACCCAGCAGATATTGACCACATCACAGAGGACAATGTAACAGCAGTGTATCGCATCCTTGCTATGCTACAACTATGGAAGAACCGATCGTCATGTTCGGATAAGAGGAAGGTGGAGAAGCTTTGCATGGCCCTGAGCAGCTGTAATAGGACAGATCTTGCAGAGAAAGTAAAAAAGGAGGCAGGAATCTGCTAGATTTCACATCCACTGGACATTGTAATAAACGACAGCTAGATAACTCCTTGAGTTTCACCCTAGATTTTTTCGGGAAGGCACTCAATATGACAGCTAGGGATATATGGCCTATTATCACTTTAATAATGTTTCCTTCAAGTATTGGTGACTATCCGTTGAATGAATACACATGGGCTAGAATTGATATGAAGGTGCTTTCTGCACTGTTTGCCTGATATTATGTGTCGTATGTCATGGTATAGTGTTTCATACACTTGAGGCTCAATCTAAGAGTTCAAATCTTGTCAATACATTAATCCACATTTGCCACCCAGGTGTAAGTGGGTACCTGCATTTGCAGCTTGGGAAAATATAATTGCAGGGCCCTCAGGAAGAACAGGATTGATGCTGATGAGGCTACCCTGGGTATAAACATGATTATTAGTATGTTGATATTCATATGCATATACAGTCTGAACAAAAACTTAATCCTTGATGGCGTATCTTACGAAATAAATAATTCAGGAAAAGATATTTGCCTTGAAGTAAACTTGATCTCTAGGGATTCTAAGAGTAAAGTGTTGGGAGGTGTCCATGTCAAGTGCAGGAATGTGCAGATTGTAATCATGACAGATCATAAGAACTTGTGTGAGATACTTGATACAACTACAAACAAATGTGAAAGCAATGACCTATTTATATAAATGTATTTTGTTAAATAGCAAAGTCGTGTCACTTTCAATTGGTCCCAATAATGAAATCGATTATGAGAATATGAATGGAAAATTGGTAGAATTTAGTAATATGAATATCCAATGTCGTTCTCATTAAAAAAAAATCAGAAAATGTTTTTGTTTCACAAAAGAATACTATTACCTATAAGTTAATCTTGCATTACAAGTTAAATTAAACAAAAATGTGTAGTACGAAAGCTGATAAGTTGCGTAGCTTACAGAACCGATATAACATGTGTATGTTATGTAGATATGATGTATTATCTTTTTTTAATTTTTTTTATATGTATGTCTTATAAACTTGTGTTTGTTCTTATTTCACTTTATTCATCATGGCATTTACAAGGTAGTCGATTACATTCTTGTATGGAATGTTGTATTTTGCAATGGAAGGAAATTCCTTAAACGTATTATACCATAGTACAGTTCATAGAATCCATTCTATATTTCATTATCATTTAATAACAGAAATTGAATAAAAAAAATTAAAAAATGGTACATAAAGATGTGAGCCTAATCATGATTTCAGCAAAGATGTGTAACATGCGATATCTTTTGTGGCTCGAGTTTGTAGCATTTATTTACAAAAGTCTATACATACTGTGATTTCAAATAAAATATATGTGATTTAATTGGTATGATCTGAATGTATGAAACAATACAATGATAATTATCCACGTATATCACTTTCTTTGTCATACATTTATGATAACATTTCTTCCATGAATGATCATGCCTTGATTGAAATATCATGCCTTACATATTGAACTAATGATATAAAACTGAATATGTGAAATGGAAATATATAGTTCTATAATTACTTATGTCAAAGAGACAAACATCTTGTGAATTGACCATAAAATGATTTTATATTTTCCAAGGTGGAAAATAATGCTTGATGGAAAGAACCAACAAGAAGTGTGATGGTTAAGATTGTTGTATTCCTTTCGTAGTTTATGTGTAATAATCATGGTACTATTACAAAGTTAATAATGATTTAAAGTAACCAATTACTGAACAATCACATTAAAATGTTTCAAAGTATTTTCATTACATCATATCTATTCGATACATGTACTATGTAGTGATGTGGGATTTGTAATGAATGATACCGCACACTATCAGCATTAGTTTCTACTTTAATGAATTTAATTGGATGAACATGCCAAGTTGAAACAACAATTGGTTCAAAGTCTGAAGTTTGTTAGTTTAATAGTTGGTTTATATTGAAATAGGAACAAATTGGTTAACTAAAATTAATAAGTAGGAAAGTTGAAAGATAGAAATTACATATGTAAACGAATTAAAGCATTTTACCCTACAGAAACAAATATTATAAGTAATGACTCTGCATGAAATGGGACAAAAATAATAGTTTAGAGTGAGCAAGTGTGTGGGTATCTTACTATTTCACCGGGCTAAGGTTACCTATCCCCCAAACAAGCAGCCTATCCATGTACATACACAGCCATAAGGGTAGAGTGTCAGGAGGTGACCTGGTCAAATACAGGAATGCGCAGGTTGTCATCAACACAGATATCGAGTACTTGTGGACAATACTGATTTGATTTACCCTTTCCAATTTCTAAAGATGATAGACGAGGCTATTGAAATTGTCTGAAGTTGGCGGTCTCCTGCGTTCACAGATACTGGTTATTTTAAAATTAAAGTTTTACATATTTGTGTTTACTTTATGTGTATAAAAGTTATTTGTTATTATCTTAAAATATACTTGTTAATGTGATACATAATTATTCTGCATTACATTATTGAACGTAGATTTTTGTTTAAATAAACAAAGAAGTTGATTGTTCCAAAGTAGTTGCGATCTTGTTTCGTCTAGTACTCATACATTATCTCATATCCATTATTGATTGCCATTGCTATATACATGGTTCTTAAAAAATGTTAGCTGTATGCGATTTCTGAATATATATACTTTTTCATACTTTACTAACCTGTACAGGATAATTTTCATTACTTTATAATCGTTCACAAAGTAATTTTCTTATGATCGAATTGTACATAGACCATACTGATTTGAGAGGGTGTGATAACATTTAATCAGAATGTATATTTAAGTTTAAAAAGAGTGTTCTAAGTCTGCTTCTATTGTGATTATTTACATTGTATAAACACGCCTAGTGAGGATCGCACCAGATGTACAACTGTCAATATGGGCCTACCTAACAACATTTAAATGTAGACATATTTGGAAATCAGAATATATTGACTGTGAAAGCAAATGATCAATACAGTGCCGAACTAACATAGTATTGTAAATGTCTTATCTTGTGACAGAATTGTACATAGACCATGTATACTATTCTAAAATGGTGTAGAAAGGAGATAATGATGTTAGTTTCAGTGGTGTAGAAAGGAGATAATGATGTTAGTTTCAGTGGTGTAGAAAGGAGATAATGATGTTAGTTTCAGTGGTGTAGAAAGGAGATAATGATGTTAGTTTCAGTGGTGTAGAAAGGAGATAATGATGTTAGTTTCAGTGGTGTATAAAGAGATAATGATGTTAGTTTCAGTGGTGTAGAAAGGAGATAATGATGTTAGTTTCAGTGGTGTAGAAAGGAGATAATGATGTTAGTTTCAGTGGTGTAGAAAGGAGATAATGATGTTAGTTTCAGTGGTGTAGAAAGGAGATAATGATGTTAGTTTCAGTGGTGTAGAAAGGAGATAATGATGTTAGTTTCAGTGGTGTATAAAGAGATAATGATGTTAGTTTCAGTGGTGTAGAAAGGAGATAATGATGTTAGTTTCAGTGGTGTAGAAAGGAGATAATGATGTTATTTTCAGTGGTGTAGAAAGGAGATAATGATGTTAGTTTCAGTGGTGTAGAAAGGAGATAATGATGTTAGTTTCAGTGGTGTAGAAAGGAGATAATGATGTTAGTTTCAGTGGTGTATAAAGAGATAATGATGTTAGTTTCAGTGGTGTAGAAAGGAGATAATGATGTTAGTTTCAGTGGTGTAGAAAGGAGATAATGATGTTAGTTTCAGTGGTGTAGAAAGGAGATAATGATGTTAGTTTCAGTGGTGTAGAAAGGAGATAATGATGTTAGTTTCAGTGGTGTAGAAAGGAGATAATGATGTTAGTAAGTTCAGTGGTGTATAAAGAGATAATGATGTTAGTTTCAGTGGTGTAGAAAGGAGATAATGATGTTAGTTTCAGTGGTGTAGAAAGGAGATAATGATGTTAGTTTCAGTGGTGTAGAAAGGAGATAATGATGTTAGTTTCAGTGGTGTAGAAAGGAGATAATGATGTTAGTTTCAGTGGTGTATAAAGGAGATAATGATGTTAGTTTCAGTGGTGTAGAAAGGAGATAATGATGTTAGTTTCAGTGGTGTAGAAAGGAGATAATGATGTTAGTTTCAGTGGTGTATAAAGAGATAATGATGTTAGTTTCAGTGGTGTAGAAAGGAGATAATGATGTTAGTTTCAGTCGTGTAGAAAGGAGATAATGATGTTAGTTTCAGTGGTGTAGAAAGGAGATAATGATGTTAGTTTCAGTGGTGTAGAAAGGAGATAATGATGTTAGTTTCAGTGGTGTAGAAAGGAGATAATGATGTTAGTTTCAGTGGTGTAGAAAGGAGATAATGATGTTAGTTTCAGTGGTGTATAAAGGAGATAATGATGTTAGTTTCAGTGGTGTAGAAAGGAGATAATGATGTTAGTTTCAGTGGTGTAGAAAGGAGATAATGATGTTAGTTTCAGTGGTGTATAAAGAGATAATGATGTTAGTTTCAGTGGTGTAGAAAGGAGATAATGATGTTAGTTTCAGTGGTGTAGAAAGGAGATAATGATGTTAGTTTCAGTGGTGTAGAAAGGAGATAATGATGTTAGTTTCAGTGGTGTAGAAAGGAGATAATGATGTTAGTTTCAGTGGTGTAGAAAGGAGATAATGATGTTAGTTTCAGTGGTGTATAAAGAGATAATGATGTTAGTTTCAGTGGTGTAGAAAGGAGATAATGATGTTAGTTTCAGTGGTGTAGAAAGGAGATAATGATGTTAGTTTCAGTGGTGTAGAAAGGAGATAATGATGTTAGTTTCAGTGGTGTAGAAAGGAGATAATGATGTTAGTTTCAGTGGTGTAGAAAGGAGATAATGATGTTAGTTTCAGTGGTGTAGAAAGGAGATAATGATGTTAGTTTCAGTGGTGTATAAAGAGATAATGATGTTAGTTTCAGTGGTGTAGAAAGGAGATAATGATGTTAGTTTCAGTGGTGTAGAAAGGAGATAATGATGTTATTTTCAGTGGTGTAGAAAGGAGATAATGATGTTAGTTTCAGTGGTGTATAAAGAGATAATGATGTTAGTTTCAGTGGTGTAGAAAGGAGATAATTATGTTAGTTTCAGTGACATTATCATTTGGTTCTAAAGGTTATTATATCAGTTTTAAAGATTGTTTCCCTTTGTTACGCTTTCGCTTCAGTTATTACATTGTATATAGTATCTTTTCATGTTGGCCTATATTTGTGTACAGATTAATGTTATGATAAACCGGAGTTGTGTTTATTCCATATCAAAATTTAACCATGTATTTTTTTCTATATATAACTAATCACATATGTATATACAGCGTGAGTCACAACGAGGAAAGCTAGATTCAACGCTATAAATAACACGACCGCAACTATTTTTAGAAATTTCAACTCAAAGGGAATTTCAATACCCTATTGTATGTCCCATGGAAATCATGTTCAGCTTACTCAAAATGATCAAGAAGTGCCTCAAAAAAGTAAAAAATCTTTGAGTGACTGGTTTAACCATACTCGTTTCCCCAATAGACTGTAGTGTTATAAAAAACCGTTCGGCGAACAGTCTTCAAAATTTGTAATTCCAATCATTAATATCTTGATAATCAGACAAGCGATCGGCTTGTAAAAGTCATGGATTTCCTGACTTACCTAAAGGTTTATAATTATCATTGCAGCATGAGCTAAATCAAGGATTATTTCTAAAGGATCTTTGAGGCTGTTCACACCGCAATGAGATAGCGCGGTCTATCGTAGCACCCCCTTTTTTCTAGCGCGCGCTAGACCGCGCTCTCTCTCGTGGACCACCCCCAAGAGGTGCTCCAGTGGCAGCCTCTAAGAGGCTGTTCACACCGGCAGAGATAACGCGCGCTAGACCGCGCTATCTCTGCGGTTTGGAAGGTACAACGTCGTTTTGGTCCGCCCAACAGCGAGCCACGGCGAGCCAAAACGGCGTGCCACAGGAGCACCTCTTGGA